TAATACATTAAGTGGTATTTATTATCCAACTACTAATTTAGTGTTAGATATTTTACTTTAAATTGCTAAAACTTTTGCTCAATATAGATATAATAACATTTTAAGGGAAATTGTTTTAAAGATGGAAGAAAAATATGAGAGATATTTGTTAGATATTCCATTCTTATATGGATTAGGCCTTGTTCTAGATCCTAGGTTTAAATTACACGTAGTTAACTGTATAGTTACTGAGATAGGCCAGCATTTAGGACATGATTATACGTCTTATTTGACTAACTTTAAAAAAAAAAATTGGATAGCCTTTTTTCTTTATATGAGAACAGGTACAATGGAAGTGGAAGTTGAACGTTCAGGAGAGAGGATCAGGACCTTAATGCAGCCCTCCGTCAAGGATCGAGCAAGTAGACGTATGTGGAACGTGGTAGAAGTAGCAGTTCGAACTTATACATATATGGACCAAATGAGCTGAATCGCTACCTACAAGTAGACCTGTCCTTTATGACGATGAAGGAGCAACATGATATGGATATTCTTCAATGATGGAACCACCATGAAAGTCGATTTCCCATTGTAGCCCAAATGACACATGACATTTTATCTGTACAGGTTTCTACAATTGCATTTGAGTCAATATTTTCAATTAGTGGTCGGATTGTTGAAGACAGAAGATGTTCTTTAACCGATGAGATGATTGAAGTGATAACGTGTTTACGAGATTAGACTCATATAGAAAGAAAACTACAACAGCACCCTGAAGATCCCGAACTACTCGAACTCTTTAGGAATACAGATTTCAATGATGTAAATATTGTGGACGATGAAAATGAATAATTTAATAAAAAAATTATTTAATTGTTTATTTGTGAAGCGTGAATGTGTGAAACGTGAATTTATGTTAAAAATTAAAATTAACTATTAATTAATTTATTATTTTTTAAAATTAATTAATTTTTTAGAAACTTTCTAATCTAACCCTGAAAAATACTAAAAACTCCCTATAAAATTTCATTTCGCCCCTAAAATATAAAAAAAAGATCAGGGGGAAAATAAACTATCTAGGCCCATAGGATCGGTCCTGGGCCCATAGGAGACTAGTACCAAACGGGCCCAGGCCTGGGCCTGCTTGGGACTGGTCCTTGACCAACTCTAAGCCTGAGCTAGTTAAATACTAGGGGAACCCTCCAATAGTCAAGACGCGTTTTGGGCTTAAGCAAGAATTCTTGGGTCTGAAAACAAAATTGTGAGGGGTTGGGCTTCGGAGTCAGATTACAGAGGCTACCAAAGCAGACAATATCTTGATTATGTTGGGTCGGCAGTAAGTCGGGGTGCTACATTATTACTCATAGCCATATGATAAATAGCATCAATTGGTGGTTATAAATCACAATCTTAATTCATATATGTGGTCCTCCTCAAAGATTTAGTGTAAGCAAATTTATGAATAATGGCAGCTCATGATATAGTACTACAACCAAACTTACCAATAATGATATGCTTTTGCTCCCCATTAATTATATTTATTACCTTATAGCACCCCCATGATTTTGTGAATTATAACAAAACTTACACCAATAATGATGACTATTCGGTAGGATATATAAGTTTGACCATGGGCAGCCCCAGTAAGGCACCATTTAGAGGAAATATCATCGTGGAAGGAAGCACAAAGTCGTTGTCTTGAAAGAGAAAAATAATGGGCGATTGTTGGAGTTAGAGCACTAGATACGTTAACATTAGTGCCTATAATTTGAAGATGGTGATGGGTCAGGCCATTTCTTTTTCTTTTTTGATGTGGAGACCATGTGAAAGAATTCTATATTCATATATAAATAACTAAACCATTTTTGTTATTTTTATGAAAAGAAAGCTGAATTGTAACTTTTTAAAAGTAGCACTAAAAAACCTTCATCCCAGAAATGCTCATAAATTGGCAGGGATTCAGATTAGCACATGGGATCAGATATTGTAGAATGATGACTAGGTTTATTATTAATTTTTTAAAAAGAAATAGATGTTGTTTGGAGGTCAAAAAGCTTCGGCTCAAAGTGCATTCTACTTAAAATGTTTGCAAATAAAGCCGCTGTGTAGGGCATACAAAAATCACTGCTGGTGCTCTCAGAAAAATATATAATAGGGCTTATTTTATAATCATCTTATTTTAATGGATTNAGTCGGGGTGCTACATTATTACTCATAGCCATATGATAAATAGCATCAATTGGTGGTTATAAATCACAATCTTAATTCATATATGTGGTCCTCCTCAAAGATTTAGTGTAAGCAAATTTATGAATAATGGCAGCTCATGATATAGTACTACAACCAAACTTATCAATAATGATATACTTTTGCTCCCATTAATTATATTTATTACCTTATAGCACCCCCATGATTTTGTGAATTATAACAAAACTTACACCAATAATGACTATTTGGTAGTATACATAAGTTTGATCATGGGCAGCCCCAGTAAGGCACCATTTAGAGGAAATATCGTCGTGGAAGGAAGCACAAAGTCGTTGTCTTGAAAGAGAAAAATAATGGGCGATTGTTGAAGTTAGAGCACTAGATACGTTAACATTAGTGTCTATACTTTAAAGGTTGAAGACGGTAATGGGTCAGGCCATTTCTTTTTCTTTTTTGATGTGGAGACCATGTGAAAGAATTCTATATTCATATATAAATAACTAAACCATTTTTGTTATTTTTATGAAAAGAAAGCTGAATTGTAACTTTTTAAAAGTAGCACTAAAAAACCTTCATCCCAGAAATGCTCATAAATTGGCAGGGATTCAGATTAGCACATGGGATCAGATATTGTAGAATGATGACTAGGTTTATTATTAATTTTTTAAAAAGAAATAGATGTTGTTTGGAGGTCAAAAAGCTTCGGCTCAAAGTGCATTCTACTTAAAATGTTTGCAAATAAAGCCGCTGTGTAGGGCATACAAAAATCACTGCTGATGCTTTCCGAAAAATATATAATAGGGCTTATTTTATAATCATCTTATTTTAATGGGTTCTGCAATTACAAAATCCTCCCAAAAATACCTAGACATGGCAATGTTCCCCGGAATTCTAGGGACACGTCCCGGCCCGCCACAAAAGCCCCGATTTTTTAGGGGATAGAGGCAGGGGTGGGGGGCGTTTTAATCCCCATCCTCTGGGATGGGGCGGGGGGACGGGGGTGGGTGATGTCTTTCCCCCGCCCCACCCCTCCTCGTGTATATATATATATACTTTTTTCTAATACTCCTATATTTCACTTAATAACACAATTATCCTACCTATATAAACCCATTTATATACTTTTTTCTAATACCTCTATATTTCACCTAATAACACAATTATCCTACCTATATAAACCCATATTTTCCCAATTTCCCTCACCCTAAACAATTGAACAAGAACAAACCGTAACCCATATTTATGTATAATTAATTATATTTAAACAATTAATTTAAGTGTTTGTTATATGGACGAGAATTAACTATTGTGTTTGGTAATGCTCAAATTAATTTATCTTTATGTAAAATTAACGGGGTGAGGACGAACCTCCAACATTCCCCTTTGGGGGGAGGGGAATTCCTGTCATCCCCGTAATGGGGATGGGGCACGCGTGGGGAGTGATTTTGAGGGCGGGGATGGGTATGGTGAATGAGATCCCCACCCTGCCCCGCCCGATTGCCATGCCTAAAAATACCACAATCCTATAGAGAAAGATGAACAATAATATTAGGTTTACAATCTTCTCTCACAATCTCTGACATGACAGCTCGTCATTGATTAGCTTGCAATGAGTAAACAAGACTCATTTTATGAGGTGTCACGTCTAGGCTTATGAGAGAAGGTTGTGAGAATTAATTGTTGACCTAACATTACTAAAAAAATGAAATAAATCCACTTTTTAATCAGGGCGGAATTGGAGCCCCAATCTGGGTTCAAATAGAAAAGTAGCAAACTTTGAAGGCCCATCACTCCTGTTGGAATGCCAACTTATGAAGCAAAGAGATCAAATATTCGTGCAGGCCCGCAAATCATCCTTGGGTAGAAGTGATTTCTAGTTTGGCGCCAATTAGAAGGAATTAAAATTGAAGGATCAAATTCCAAATTATTCTTTGACCTCATTGGCGTTTCAATTAATGGAATTTCGGTAATATTCCAAAAAGTAGTCTCCTGCAGCTGTCACCAGAAATCAAATCTTCATCCCCAAAAAACTTGTTTAACACTATTATCTGTAGGAAATATCAATATAACTCACCTCCAGTGTTTAAAATAGGATCAATTCGGAGTGTTTCATCACGCCCTTTTCTTCTGATATGCACGGTGGAAATTCTATTACGATATTACCTAAAATTCAGTCACATAATGGTAGAGAAAACTGAGAAAATAGTTTAAGTTATTGAGCCATGGAGAAACTGTTGAGCAGTTGACTCTCTACAATTATTTGATAATAACTTCTTTTATGGGCCAATTGGATTGTTGGGCCAACCTGAAAGTCCAACACTTTCATTCAATCCACGAAAACCACCAGTATATTTGCTGGAAAACGAAAACCAAATCCACCAACGCTAAAACAAGGATAATGATACTGTAAATGGTACATTTATTTCACTGTAGAAGAAGCTTAATACAATTGGTTGTTGATCTTGGAAGGATAAAAAGGAAAAGTAGTAGGAATAGGGATCCGATCCTCCACCCGCCATAGTATTTAACATCCAATTTTTTTCATCTTTATTTGACGGTTGATTGATTGACAAGCAAAGCATTCTCTTTGAAATTTGCAGAAACCAAAAAGAAATCGCCAGCATCTTCATATTCTCGCATAACTCTTTTGACTTTACTTTGAATAAAGGTCCGTAGAAGCAAAAAGCAAAGAATTACCCAGTTGATTGGTTCATCGAGAGTAGTGGACAGCAGTATAACTTTTATTTTTTTGTTGGCTTTACTAAATTCTTCTGTATGCAGATAGCTGCATATGTAGTCAGATTTCTTCTTTGTTAATCTTGTGCTTAAACTAGAGAAGAACCAAAAAAAAATGTCTTCAACAATTAGAGAAAATGGAAGAGGCATAGGAGAAGCTTCCTGCAATGGCATTGTCCGGCGGATGGTAGGCCTTCCGAGAAGCATTTTAGGGGGATTTTCAAGAGTAATGGGTCATGGTATAAATGTCATGGGATCAATAGGAGGAAGAAGGCATCACCCTCAACCATTGAACTTTCAATTTCCGCAACTAATTCCACAAGAACCAGTAGTTGTTCCAGAAGAGTTTGCTTTTCTAAACAGTTTTGAGCAGCAATATGGCTCCACACATCCATTCTTTTATGCATGTAATTTCATGGAGGCTTTAAAGATAGCTGAAGATGAACATAAGTTTATGTTCATGTATCTCCACTCGCCACAACACCCTTTCACTACCCCTTTCTGTCGAGACACATTGTGTTCAGAGTTTGTAACTCAGTTTCTTGATGCAAACTTCATTTCCTGGGGGGCTCTTGCTGATAGAGGAGAAGGTTTACAAATGGCTGCAACAATGAGGGCTGCCAGCTTCCCCTTCTGTGCAGTAGTAGCTCCTGCTGCCGGTAATAGCATAGCAGTGCTTCAACAGGTGAATTGGTCCAAATAATTATAATGATGATTAGTAATTGTAGCAATATACATCATATGTTAACCAGATTAATTAAAGGTATTGATTTGTTTCTGAATTGTCAATGTTCAGATGGAAGGACCAATATCCCCAGCAGAGCTAGTGGAGATTCTGCAGAGAACAATGGAGGAACAAGGGTCGGCTTTTGGTGGCGCAAGAGCAAAGGAGGAAGAAAAGGCGAGAGCAATCGCAAGAGCCAAGGAAGAAGAAAAGATAAAAGCAGATCGTCAGTTAAGAGAAGAACAAGATGCAGCATATCTAGCAGCTCTAAAGATTGACAAAGTGTGTGACTTGTATTATACGCCATCAATGCTTTAAGTTACAATTCACTATTGTTCATTTTATGGCTGAAAATTGACAACTTTCCTTTTACACAGGAAAAAGAGAAACTCAAACAATTGCCCTCTGGAGGAAAAGCTCAGAACCCAGTTGAAGTAGGTTCAAATAAAGCAAATTATGAGAAGTTTAGCCACACTCCTATTCAAAAACACAACGGCAAAGCAAAAATAACCCCCAGTACTATTAGAGAAACTCAATACAAGCAGACTACAAACTGGGGAAAGGATTCCCAGGTTACTCAGGTACAATATATACTGCAACCATTTCTCTTTTGGCTTAAACTAGAGACAGATTTAATCCATTCAATCATTCAAGTACTTGATGAATATGTTTTCAGATACTGATTCGATTTCCAAGTGGTGAAAGAAGAGAACATAGCTTTTCGCCCACCGATAGAATCCAGTCAATCTACAGATACGTTGATTCTCTAGGCCTGCCTGGTGTTGAAAACTACAAACTGGTATCAAGCTTCCCCAGAAGAGTTTATGGTGTTGATCAAATGGGAATTACTCTCAAAGAGGCTGGCCTCCATCCTCGAGCTAGCTTGTTCTTAGAGCTTCAGTGATTATAATAACATTTACACCGCATGCACCAACCCTTGTATCAATGATAATCACTACCAGAATATTATTTAGCATCTCATCAATGTTGTCAAATATATCTGTTATATAATAATAATAATGTTATCGACTATATACAGTTGTTCTTGGAAGATTTTCCAGCTACTTCAGCCGAATAAACTTTCCTCTTCTTCAGCACCAACAAGGAACATAAAAATTATTAGTCAAATTTCATGTGTTGGTTGCCATTAATCTCAATACAGCTTAACTGTTAGATTTAGATGGATGAATAATTAAAATCTTAAGCCTTGAAATTGAATTTTGTTACATTTCTGAATTTGATGATCCCCGAATGCGATATCCAAGAAGACCACTGGGCGAGATGTCACCTAAAAGGAAGAGATTTTAGATTGATATGTTTTAATATAATTGGATACAAGTGTCAATTTCTGAATCCTTTGGGTCTCGCAATAATTTTAGTCATAATAGGAAAATATAGTTTGTACTTTTTTGAAAAATTTCACTTAAACGTCGTCGTCACCACTATCATCACGTCAAGACTGAAGACTCTCGACTCTCGAGCCTAAGAGCAGCAAGCAACAGAAATGGCGCTCCGCACGTGCAACACTCTTCCCTCTCCTTTCGTTAACTCAATCAAATTGACTAGGAAACCCATTCGAAACTGCAAATTCTCAGTTAAGAATTCTATTTCTGACCCAAATGAATCACGTAAGGTACTACTCTTCTCTCTGTTTAACATTAATTTAATTTATATTCCGGAAGATTAATTACATTTACGAAATTTAGTATTGCGAGGTTCATGAACCTAACAAGTGCTGTAATTTATACTTGTGGGGTTTAATATCAATGTTAATCAGCTACTTAGATAATCAACTGGATTCCAAATGTGTTTCTAAATAATGAATCTTGTTCGCCTTTTACTGCGTTATCTACTTGTGGTTATGAATCGTTATAGTTGATGTTATAGAAATTTGCAGCTGGTTTTGCAAGTAAAAGAGAGGCTTCAAAAAGATTATAGTAGTCTCCCAGTTGGTAAAAATGGACGAGATGATGAAGATATGATCCTCTGGTACCTAAAGGACAGGAGGTTTTCCGTTGAAGAAGCCGTTGCAAAATTGACTAAAGCCATTGTATCCTTCATCGGAAATTCACTGAAATTCTTTATAGATGAAAAGCTGTTCTCAAAACTTGTATTTGTGGTTTAATATGATGATTTGTTTAAATTTGTTATATTTAAAAGTTTTCTTACTAAGTTTTAACCTTTTAGAAATGGCGTCAAGAATTTAGAGTGTCTGAACTAAATGAAGAGTCTGTGAAAGGTATTGCTGAAACTGGAAAAGCTTATGTGCATGACTTTCTTGATGTTAATGGCAGACCAGTGCTCATAGTGGTAGCATCAAAGCATTTACCTGCGGTAAACTTTTGTGTTGATTTTTTTATTTTTCTTTGCACAAATTTCTGTTAAGATGCGGTCTGAAACTCGTAGTAGTTTAGTAAATTAGTATCAGTCTTGCAAATTAGAGTGAATTTTTTTTTTTTTGTCAGACTAGTATTTGGTAATCTGGGGTTCTTGTTACTTTCATCTTTTGGCTGCAGCACTGGTATATTTGAATGTCTAGACTGTCCATGTTCTTCTGACGTGTCCATAATAAGCAATAATTGCAATGGCTATAGGTGCATGATCCTGTTGAGGACCAGAAGCTCTGTGCCTTTTTGGTTGAGAAGGCATTGAGCAAGCTCCCACCTGGAAAGGAAGAAATTCTTGGTATATTTGATCTCAGAGGCTTTCGTACTGAGAATGCAGATCTTAAATTCTTAACCTTTATGGTAATTTCTACAAATTGATTCTGATCTCTTGGGTGCTTGTATTTTTTTCCTTATTGCTGCAGCTGCAATAATACACTAGAAAAATTAGTTCTCTTAAATATAAAGAAAAGTAAAGCATAAATTTCAGTTAATGACATGGTTTTGTTGGCTGCTCCAATTTATTCCATTATGAGTATTAGAGCAACATGATATTATACATTTTTTGTTAAATTCCCTGGGTTTGCATAATTCTTTATGTTTCTGAACAAACTACTATTATGGCCGTACCTGTAATGTTGCAACTACTTCTTCTAAGATTGAATGGTTGTATTTTTGGATTACGGTTGAGTTTGTTTGACGGGTAATGTTATAGTTTCTTATTAACTTTATTGAGTCTTTGACAATCATTGATTAACCCGCACAACAAGATCTTGTCCATCTGAATCTCTGATGGTTGCAAAGGTCCGTTATGTTACCATAGTGGGGTCCTTGTTTGAGATAAATTCTTGATACCATTCAAATGCTGCTGGTACTGATAGGCAGATCACTAGTACAAGAACTAGTGAACTTCTGTTTTTTTGTTTTTTAATATTTACTAAATCTCATTTGATCTTATCTCCATCAGTACCATTAATAACTTGAATGTTCGTACTTCATTGCCCAAAAATGATAATATGGACCATTTTAACATATTCTGGTTCTCATGGCAGTTTGATGTGTTTTACTATTATTATCCAAACTGTTGCACAAAGTTCTCTATCATGACATGAATGTGCATACCTAATTGCCTAAAAATTCCTTTGAGTTGATTTTTACTTGTTCTCATCGCAGTTTGATATATTTTACAATTATTATCCAAAGCGGTTGCGTGAAGTCCTCTTTGTGGGAGCTCCATTTATATTTAAGCCATTTTGGCAGCTAGTCAAGCCCTTGTTGAAATCATATGCTTCAATGGTATGCACCAGTAGTGTTTACCTATCTCTGACGTGATTGTTCTTTCTTTTGGAGCTAAACCTTATTTGGTTGCTATTATTAATCCTTTTTTGAAGGTAAAATTTTGCTCTGTGGAGACTGTCAGAAAGGAATATTTTACTGAAGCAAAGCTACCAGTCAGTTTCAAAGACTGACTGTATCATCCCCTTTTATTTTAGGTATGGAGTTTATAATCTTCACAATCACTGGCTATTAATGATGGGATCATGAGAAATATGCTTATATCCTTTAATGAGTTGCTAGGAATGCATCAATGATCAATCCTTGATGTTACAACGTCATCGCTGATGTCGCAGCATTTTCTCCCAGCACAAAGTGGATGGTTGATATTGACAGGCACAATGACAAATGATTCACAAATTTATTCTAAATTTACATTGCATGCAGGAATTTTGCAGAATCAAGACATGGATGCGAGGGTTGTGGCAGACTACAGACAGTTCAAATGTGCTTGAACTTCATCAATGTTTAAACAGAGTTGATGGGCTCATGTTTTTTCAACTTGCTCGGCCTCCCCTTTGGGAAGTTTACTGATAGACTTCTGGAAATATTTGATGAATTAGAGCTTCTCCTTGCAAAGGAATGGGTCCCTCACCAGAAGAACTTAGGGTCATTGTGCCTCCTGTAATCGAACACTTTTTGTACAATAATTTTATAGTAAATGTCCATTACTGAATCAAGTCCAAAAAATGTCTAAATGTCCATTACTAAATCAAGTCCAAAAAATGCGCAGCCAGCCAGAAAAGAGTTTTATTTGTTGTATCGCCAGCCAGAACAGAGTTTATTTGTTGTATCCCAGCCAAAATAGAATTAATTTGTTGTGTCTCTGTTATTCAATTACTTACGTTATTAATATTCTACAAAGTGTAGGCAGAACATGCTTTTTAACCTTGAAATAGTTCAAATACGTGATTGTAAATTTTAAACTAAGACTTGGTAGGGGTGCGCCAGGCCCTTGCAGTAGTGCAACGCATGGGCGACGCTTGAGGATCCCAGTAGCAAGCTACCGTTGCGGAACCTCCCCCTCAAAAAATTAATTTAATATCGCGTGGATCAATGATCCACATATCAGATATTAAACTGATAAGAACAGATACTACACTTGATCTTAGCCAAAAGGCCGAGAAAGGTATGAATTGGTGAGGTGTTTGATCTGCTTTTTATAGTGCGCCATCTTCCGCTGCTTAATTAATCTGAACGATGTGGGACATAAAACATATTCTCATTTCCTCTTCATTCAATTGTATTATTAAATAACGCTATAAAAGAGGTTCCCATTCACTTATTCTTGCTCCCTAATTCGTCAGTCTGTCTGACTCTGGTTTTACTATCAGAAAATATAGAGAGAAAACAAGAATTACCTACAAATTTGTTGGTTTGAACTTCGAACGTTGAGGTAATTTTGAAGCAAAATATTGTCTCGAGGCTGGGCTTTTCCTTGGCCCAATAAGCCTCATCGTGAGTATGCCATGCTAAGATATCTTTACATTTTAAGCCATACGTCACTATCTTAAATTTGATTACAATTTTAACCCTTTATAAACAACGTTGATTAATTTTTTTTTTTAAATTAATAATAAGAGAAGTTGATTACCCCAATTTTAACTCGTATCCACAATGGACAATGACTTCAAACAGGGACAAAATTGTAAATTTAATTAACCTCCGTTTCCTCCAAGATACTCTGATTCTTCAGTCTTAATTTCTGCAATTTTGATGTTTCTGGAGAAAGTGGGAGAAAGAAATGGAGAGAGCGAGGATGTTAATGAAGGTGGTCAGTCTGCTGTGTCTAGTGGTACTAAGCAACGCGATCGAGTCGCCGAAATATGAGGTGGTACACTCAGAATCGGATTTCGATGTCAGACTTTACACAGAATCCACGTGGATGTCTGCCCCCGTTCGTGAACTCTCCTTCGAGAAGGCCACCTTGTTTGGCTTTCACAGGTATCGTTGCTCTGCTCAGCAACCCATATTCTAGTTTTAACTGTTAATTATATTATGGTATAGTTTGTATCAACTATCAAAATAGTTGTAATCACTCCTATATTTCGGGAAAAAAATTATCTTTTGACCTTAAAGTTTATGATTTGTCACTCCAATTTTGTATTTAACTCAGAATCAAGCTCATCATGTACTTTAATGAATAGTAGCCCGTGTGTAATTGGTGCAGACTGTTATGTAAATTACTTTCTAAGTAACCAATATTAACAATCACATCCCTTAATTCAAAAGCCTGGTTGTGTTCTTGGGAAGACTATATATCTGATTATTAAAAAAAAAGAGTTTTAACATGGATGAAGGAGAAGAATCTGCAGTTTATTTTGAAGATGGTATCATCTGTCACTTTATTTTGGAGATGAATTCTACAACCTTTTCGAGCTAAAAAAAATATATAATTAACTTGTTATGTTATTACAGGTTGTTCCAGTTCATCGAAGGTGCCAATCTTAACTACTCTCGGATTCCTATGACATCCCCTGTTGTGACAAGCATTGTTCCTGGAGCTGGCCCCCTTCATTCATCTGCCTATGTTGTCAGATTTTACTTGCCTGTGAAGTTCCAAGCTGACCCACCAACTCCCCTGCCTGAACTTCATTTGAAGCCTTATGTATGGGACAGTCGCTGTGTTGCTGTAAGGAAGTTCTCTGGATTTGCAAAGGATGAAAACATTGTGCGTGAGGCCGAGAAACTTGCCATCAGCTTGAGGAGGTCTCCTTGGGCTAACGGTACTTCTTCTGACAGTGATTATGCTTACTCCATTGCACAATATAGTTCTCCTTTCCAGTTCATTGGTCGCGTTAATGAAATCTGGGTAGATATTGATGCATCCGGAATAGACGCCTGTAAACCCGGTAATATAGCTGCATACTGAAATATTGCAGAATAAGTAGCATATCAGTATCGGTCTCTACTTATATGTGCCTGAAAGAAAATTGAATACTATATCCCTAATTTTACTATCTTTGTGTATATATTATGGAAATAGATGGTACTTTGTATTTTAGTCAGACATTGATATCTATGGGAAATATTATAAGTAGTTCATAGTATTCTTTGTTTCTTTTTATATTTCGGACATCTTTTTGTTTATTGAAATATATGTTAGTGTGCGGTTCTCTGTATCAGGTTATTTCCAATCAGGCAATCACAGGCTTGCCTAGTTGCCCATAATGAGTTTCTTTAGCTATAGAAACAGAATGAAGCTAACGATTATCGCTGAGAGAATGTTCCGCTGTTCATTGGCCAGCCAAGTTGAAAACTTTGAGTCTGACAAGCCCTCAGGTGGTTAAACTGTTCCAAGACCCAATTTCTTACTGCCTACAAAAACACATGCATTGGACGATAAAGATAGTCCAACTAAGAGAAAATCAGTTTATTCATCATTCAATCTCCTGTCATTCACATGTTTTCTTTTAGGAAACAGAAGACCTATAATACCACACTGTTCACAATTTTCACTCTTCTGTGACACTTTCCCTCAAGGGACGACTTCATGCTGCTCATAATGATGACTTTAGCAGGGCTCTTTTAAAACTATTAACAGTCAAGTTGCAGACAGAGCGCAGTGCTTACTTGTAGTTGTCCCAACAACATTGCATTTAGATCAATCTCTAAACTAAAGCTCAAAAGCAAGGTTCCACAAATCTCGCATCATGAGGTTAAGCATGTTAATATTGTTGATATCACAAAATTACTCGCATTATCAAAATAAATGCTTTCCACACCAAGGCCCGCCACACCAGATAAATGTTAAAAGATGAGAGAAAAGCAAAGAAGCAAAATTATGCAAACATTCTTGCAACTCAAAACCTATCCAATAGAATTGATTATCCATACAGTCCAATGCTTATATCAAAAAAATCTGTGACCTAAAAGAATGAATGAATTGAAGTTGTGAAGGTACAACAATAAATATACTCACTAAATCCTAGTTAGGCCGGTGTTTTGGATGAATATATGATGGCAAAGATACCCCAACTTTGGGACCTTTCTTGCCTGGCATAGGGAGCTGGATTTGACTACAGTATACAACAGATAGAAGAATGAGAAGGAAAAGAAAAAGAAAAATGGGAGAGGACAAGACTTCCGTATGCTTTAAAATTGAAAAACTGGTTTGAGCTTTGGTAGTTCTTTGCCACAAATATCTCCCCTCGATCAGTGCAGCACCTAAGGTCCATGAGAGGTCCCCGGGACCAAATATTATCTCTGCCTCACCAAGACACAGAGCTTCCTCAATGAGTGATGCCATATAAGGCACCTGGAAACAATGCTGTACAGCATGGTTTCGGTTTCCGGCATTGTAACTCAAGTCGGCCCATGATCTTGGACATAATTGCTCACCTTTCTCCCAGACTTTTGTCAAATTGGCTCTTGAAATCAAATTTAATTTGTTGTAAACAACAAAAAATCCTGATAAAGCATGAAAGTGTCCAGTTGGGTGGGTGATAGCTGTCAGATTAAGTATATTTATGCCTGCACAACAGAGATGAGAAACTGTAAATTACAAACTCATGTTCATCCCCTTCAATGAGATTAAAAAACAAAGCATCCTATAGACAGAACATATAAAAGGATCTATTAATAACAGAGTCAAAGCCACTTCAAGAAACAGATGTAGAATTGTATTAACTTGTTTACAAGAATCAACGGCCAAGTTACAGATATGTTTTTCCTTCAAGTGAGTCTTCTCCACCCAAGGACCACTAACTCAAATTTTATTGTGCCACTGGCTCAATTTGGAAATTCCACAACCCAAACCCAGTACCAACCTGGTATGCAGAATGAACCGCAGGTTTTCCCTTTTAAAGAGAGAAAGATAAACATTATTCAGCTTCAATGGCCAGTAAACACAAGATAAACATTATTTAGCTTTATATATAATTTTTAATCATGGTATTAAAGTATGTAATCCCAAACTTCTGTATCAATAGCCCACTTGACCACCACCAAGTATTCCCATTAACAAATTGCACTTCCACAACACAAACACTCGTTTGGAATTCCAATTATAAGCATATTATTGTTAACAAGAACACTTGCTAATATACTTGCAACTTGCAAGAGAACTGTACAAACCTATAGACACTAGACAGGACTAACCTTTTTCCTACAAATTGACAACATATATGTAATCAAGTTGGCAACCCTTCATATGTCTGAACCTAATAATTGCTATGCTCAAGAAAACTTGATAAATGAGCTATTGTATTGTTATTTTCAGTAATGATGACTAACCTCATAAAGGAATATAGGGAAGCCTAGCAACATGTAATATATACAGATATAAGAATGAATGATTGATTGCAGAAGAGAGGTAATAGAATCTATAAACTTACTGCTAGAAGATGACAAGCCTGCTTTACAGTTTGTACCAACTGTTGGGTGTGACCAATCTAAATTGCTTGAATTGATGGCAACAGCCCTTGCAAGCCCCCGACATTGCTCCCAATTTGGGTCCCCAACCAGATAAACAGATGCGGAATTTGTTCTCTGCATTTGACTACTGGAATTTTTTTTATTAGTAATATTTTGTTGAACACAACCATAGCAAGTATAATTTTGCACAAAATCAGATCTGAGACATGGATGCCTGATTTCAATTCTGTCACGAGTACCTTCTCGGGGTGGCTTCAATGAGTTGAGAATGGCAACTGTCCTATCAAAAGCCTCATTCAAACCAAATGCTGGCAGAGAAAATGCTAATATTCGATGTTCAATCAAGCCAATCTCAGATCTTATCAGGTGTTTGTCATCTCCTATGGCATCATCTTCCATCACTACCTGCAAAGATGAACCTCCAAGATCAAGAAGTCCCAAGGTGGACGTCCTTGAGGAATTTGTAAGGCTCCCCATTTTATAGTTCAAAGCAACCCAACCGTAGTAAGCTTCCTCTTTCCCACTCAAAACCCTTATCCAGCTTTTCTTATACAAAAATGAGTGTTCCTTTACAACCGCCTCAACATCATCCAAGACCAACCTGGCATCCTCAACAACCAACCTCCTTAGTCCAGCAGTAGCTAAAACAAATACAGGAGTATCTCCATGTCTCTCAGGAGGTACCAACCTTTCCGCCCATAAAATCAACGGTTCCAAAGATGCTCTCACTCTTGAAGCATTACCAACAAACTTATCTAAACCAGGCTCAGTCTGCAGACAGTGGTACTGACAAGAACTTCTCCGAAGTGATCCCTCGGTCGAGTTATCTGGATACGAATGCATCAGAATAGGAAAGTTCTCGCTTTCCACATATTTTTTCCACTGATACACATTTACTCGTGTTCCAGTGCTTCCACAGTCCACAACAACAGTATAGTACGACCCACTTAGCATGCCATAAGCTCCACTTGGTTTAAACCCAAAATAACAGCCAACAAAAAACAACACTACAACTAAAACAAAAATACAAACTTTCAAGACCCGTTTATATTGAGTAAATACAGTGATAGAGATCTTATGTTTGGAAGGAGATTTGGGTTCCATACTTAAATTACTATTAAGTTTTCTGCTACTCTTTACTTAAGAAATCAGTTATGCTAGAAATCGCGAAAGACACAATACAATATCATCGACAATCAAATCTGGAACTGAATTTAAGCAATGAAGGGTGCTTGAAAATAGATCATGAATCAATGAAACGCTTGTCAAATTCGATTTCAGTTCCAAAGAAACGATAATATGCAAAACAGTACCTTTCTTTGTCTCTGCCAGGAAAATCACTACGCCCTGGTCTCTCTACTTTCTATTGCTCTCTCTCTCTCTCTTTGTGAATGGAGCGAGAGATGATAGAGAGTGTGTCCAGAGAATGAACAACTGGAATCTCAATTTTAAAGCTTTATATATGTTCCTTAAACAAGGCAAGCTGGTCAACCCAAATACATTAAGGCCGGAATAATGTAGCATAAATTTCAATTGAGTAAACAACATGTTCTCACTCAAGGTTTCGCGAAATAACAAGTTCCCACCCCCGGTTTCATAAATTTCAATTCTCACCCTTAAAGTAGCGTTAGCGATTATTAGGTTTGACATAGATACAGAGATTGCTATTATCATACTGTCCTTGACAAATAAATAAATAATTAATTTTTAACCCCCAAATTAGTAAAATTAGAAAAACAACCATCTTACTTCCAAATTTATTAAATAATACTTTCTTCTTCAACTTTCACATCATCCATATCTCCAACCACCGAGCGGCTGCCACTGCCACTACCACCTAGCCATTGTTGTCACCTAGCTGCTGTCCCATTGCCACCCAACCACTATCACCCTCCAGCCAAATTAATAAAATTTTAAGAAAATCCTATACATCTTAAATTCATTCACCAACACCCTCTTCAATCCCAACCCACCCAACCCTCTAAATTTTCTTTCAATCCAAACAAACTTCATCACCAACAATCCATTACAACACAAACACGATCCACTGCAATCCGCAACAAACACTACCAAGTAAGGTGGCATTCAACCAAATATCACTCAACACAACAAGCAAGTCAATCACAAGAACTAACCTAGGTGCATCACTCGAAGGAAGTGGAGACTGCAATTGGGCCGTGCAAAATTACCTACTACCCNTTAAGTTTTCTGCTACTCTTTACTTAAGAAATCAGTTATGCTAGAAATCGCGAAAGACACAATACAATATCATCGACAATCAAATCTGGAACTGAATTTAAGCAATGAAGGGTGCTTGAAAATAGATCATGAATCAATGAAACGCTTGTCAAATTCGATTTCAGTTCCAAAGAAACGATAATATGCAAAACAGTACCTTTCTTTGTCTCTGCCAGGAAAATCACTACGCCCTGGTCTCTCTACTTTCTATTGCTCTCTCTCTCTCTCTTTGTGAATGGAGCGAGAGATGATAGAGAGTGTGTCCAGAGAATGAACAACTGGAATCTCAATTTTAAAGCTTTATATATGTTCCTTAAACAAGGCAAGCTGGTCAACCCAAATACATTAAGGCCGGAATAATGTAGCATAAATTTCAATTGAGTAAACAACATGTTCTCACTCAAGGTTTCGCGAAATAACAAGTTCCCACCCCCGGTTTCATAAATTTCAATTCTCACCCTTAAAGTAGCGTTAGCGATTATTAGGTTTGACATAGATACAGAGATTGCTATTATCATACTGTCCTTGACAAATAAATAAATAATTAATTTTTAACCCCCAAATTAGTAAAATTAGAAAAACAACCATCTTACTTCCAAATTTATTAAATAATACTTTCTTCTTCAACTTTCACATCATCCATATCTCCAACCACCGAGCGGCTGCCACTGCCACTACCACCTAGCCATTGTTGTCACCTAGCTGCTGTCCCATTGCCACCCAACCACTATCACCCTCCAGCCAAATTAATAAAATTTTAAGAAAATCCTATACATCTTAAATTCATTCACCAACACCCTCTTCAATCCCAACCCACCCAACCCTCTAAATTTTCTTTCAATCCAAACAAACTTCATCACCAACAATCCATTACAACACAAACACGATCCACTGCAATCCGCAACAAACACTACCAAGTAAGGTGGCATTCAACCAAATATCACTCAACACAACAAGCAAGTCAATCACAAGAACTAACCTAGGTGCATCACTCGAAGGAAGTGGAGACTGCAATTGGGCCGTGCAAAATTACCTACTACCCGAACACAGTACTTGAACCGAACAGAAAAATTCGGGTACCTAGAAATTCGGTTCAGATACTAGTAGCACTATAAGACGTACCCGAAATCTCGAATAATTTGTTCGGGTATCCATTCAATTTTAAAAATAAACCGAGTACCCAAGCCGAAGCGGTTTGTAAAACAAAATTAAAAGACAAAAACCCTTTTTCAAAAATCCCAAATCAAATAACCCTAAAATCTACTTCTTCTCTAAACTAAACCACTTCTCCTTCAGTCCTTCCTATGTTCGTCAATCGTCCGCCCTAAGCGTGAAGTTTCAGCCATCCGTCCCCCGTTATCACACTACAATGGGCGGCAAACAGCTCGTCACCTCACCACCTCGACCCCCTTTCGACACTTTTCGATAAGGTAAATACTAACTCTTTAATTAACGTTCAACTCACTGAAAAAAGACAATATTTTTTCTAAGAAATGCAGATCGGAAAATTCAAAATGAATATGAGTTCCATCTATCCTCCATTAACAAGATTGAAAATAGTTGAGTTTCATATGAAAATAATTGAGTTTCATATGGAACGAATAAAAAACTCGTATATTCGATATTTAACGTTTGAACATTTTGCTTGATTTTATGTTTGTTTGTTGGGGAAATGAGGAGGTTGATGCATGGAACTGATGGATTCATAAATTTCATTCTATTTTGTTTTTCAAAAGTCAAGAGTCTGTAAATTTGGAAATTCCAATATTTGTTTAATGAAATGACAAAATGCAATAGTGGAAAACATATTGGTTTTGGGGTGTGTAAGTGTGTTCAATATCTGATTTGAATTATTTGGTATATTGTCTAGTGCCGTTTCTAGAAGTAATATTTGGCAGTTTCTCTTCTTCTCTATGGTTTCATTTTGAAGAAACGCTCTTATTTGATATTTGTATTTGTTCAGTTGGACAATTAATCAAAGTTGAATTAAAATACATTGAATTGTATTTGGTGTAAAACATTTTATTAATCAAAGTTGAATTAAGCGATTCTTGTCTTTTTCACATTTGATTTTGCCATTCACAGATATCGCTTAAGCGATATCAACGATCGCTTAATCGATCAAGTGAAAAAGGCAAGAATCGCTTAAGCGATATCACTAATTGCTTAAGCGATCATACATTTGATTCCGCCAATAACATGATCGCTTAAGCGATATCTACGATCGCTTAATCGACTAGGTTAAAAAGAAAAGCATCGCTTAAGTGATATCTACGATCGCTTAAGCGACCCTGTGTAAACAAAGTTCCTTTGACTATTAAACTGAATTTTATTGCTCGAACTCTTAAATATATAGTTCTTTGACGTCAGTATGAAACATATCAGGTGTATTAACCATTACGTCAATGCTAAACATATAGGGTTTACGATTCGTTCAGTGGACCGTGATCATCATTATATTAATATTAAACATATAGTTTTTTGACGTCAGTATGAAATATATAAGGTGTAGTAACCATTACTTCAATGCTAAACATATAGGGTTTACAATTCGTTCAGTAGACCGTGATCGTCATTATATTAATATTAAACATATAGTTCTTTGACGTCAGTATGAAACATATAAGGTGTAGTAATCATTACGTCAATGCTAAACATATGTTGTTTTTCTTTGTTTATAACATAAAGGGTGCGTTTGGTTGAACATTTCTATAAATATTACAAATCCTATTCCTAAAATTTTTCTTTGTTTAATTATTTAGGAAATTTTAGTATTTGTTTAATTAATTTTAGACCCATTAAGTGAATTAATTTCATTAATACCCCCTGAAAAAGTTTAAAAATTAACAAAAACACCCCTACCACCCAACTTCCCAGATTCCGGCTACCACCGATAGCTACAAACGATCGCTTTTACCTGGTCGCAACGAACTCTGCTCGCAACGAACAGATATGCTCGCAACGAACAGATCTGGTCGCAGTCCGACTATATCTGGTCGCAACGAACAGATCTGGCCATAATCAACTCTAGGCCAGATGCTGAAATTTGAGATCGCTTTTACCTGGTCGCAACGAACTCTGCTCGCAACAAACAGATCTGGCGTTCATATTTGAGATTGCTTAAGCGATCTTGTCCGAGGCAGTATGTATATCTGCCCAGATCTATGATCGCTTAAGCAATCCTACGTATCGCTTAAGCGATTTTGGTAAAAGACTCTTGGCCGGTTAAGAGATATATGTGGTCGCTCATATATGGCGTAAGCGATCATTACAAAAAGAGAAGAATCTTATATTTCTCCTAAATTATGTAATAATCTGTCTTTATAGAGCTAATTTCGATATAACTGTGATTGTGATACATTTCGACCTCACTCATTTTCCTCCCAAATTCGAAAAGAATAAGCAGCAAAATGAAGCCATTTATATCAATCGAATCCATCACATATCAAAATATAAGAGACATCAATGTAATTGAAAGTTTAAACTTAAAATCATTCATAATAGTGCCAAAACAGAATAAATCTTAAGCCACTTTGACAAGTTTTGGAATTCGGTATAATCATTGTAATAGGCATAGAAGGGTTTTTTCTTTTCCTCCTCTATTGGCCTATACAAATCGACAATGGACTCCATTTTTGCTTGCTCGCTTCCTCCCCCTTCCTCCATTTGTACGTCCCCGCTTCCTTCGCCTCCCGCCTCAACCTCCTCCATTATAACTGTCCCACTTCCTCCAACAACCTCTTTAACCCCTTCAATTTTGGCTTCTTCCTCAATTTGTTTCTTTGTTTTTCTCTTAATTCCACGTGTTAGTACAATGTAAGGCAATTTCACAAACCTGCTCTTTTGGCTCTCTCTTTTCAGCCCAGGTTACACTTCAACCGCCTTCAATACTCTACCAACTTCCTCCTGCACCCTACCAACTTCCTCCTCCACCCTAACAACTTTCTCTGCCACCTTATCCACTTTCTCTGCCACCTTTTTCAACTGCTCTTCCATCTTATCAAACCTACCATAAACAGTTGTTGTAAAACTATCAAACAAACTGTTTATAAGGTTAACCACCTCACTCTCCTGACCTCGACACCTCGGCAAAGCGGTACTTGTTGTACCGGTTTGCTGAGGCATACGAACCTCTTCCCCCCTCCCCTCCTCCTCCTCCCTCCCACTCCCCTCCTCCTCTTCCCTCCCACCGATTGCGGCTTCATCCTCCTCGACATCAACCACATTCTCAAGCAGTGGCTCTGCAACTGCCCTCACATGTGTGACCCCTTGTAGCTCCTGCGTCAGGCGGTTTATCCCTTCATCCCTTTAATCCTTCAATGCTCGAAAAGATTTGACATAGTGTTGTTATGCTTCACCCCCAGTAGCGGTGAGGAAGGGACGGACAACCCCTTGCAATAAGAAACAAAATCAATCAGATTTAAGCGACATTTTAAAGCAAATGCATATTCAAAAGCTTAATCCTTTAATCTTACCTGAGCTGATTGAATTTCAATCTCTATTTGCTCATAATCCCAATGGGTACACTTCTAGTCGTGCCACCGCAACATCCTAGGAAATGTCTGTTGCACAATCGAAGCTCTAACCCTCCCCCCTGCCTTAGCCAGGACAGGGATGACCTCATACATCCAAGCCTACATTGTAAAAAAATAATCCATATCATAATTCAAACACATATTAAAAAAAATATAACAAAAACCTATTAATATTTACCTGCATTGCCCATGGGAAGCCAAACAAATTGTACGTATCCGCTCTATTCTTCTCGGCCCATTGAGAGTGCTTTAACGCCAAGTCTTTTGCTTGCAGGAACTCCATGGTTCGCTTAAATGATACTCGTCCCCACGGATAAGCATTAAAGAAGTTCAAGTTGCTCACAAACTTCACCCAATCAATATCAACGGCTTTTGTTGAGTCACCAACCATTAGGATCGAATGTAAGAACAATACCAAGCATAGTTTGAACGTCTCCGAATCGTTAAATTCACCATCTTTTAACCTGTCCTCTAATTCCTGTGCCTTAATAGACGTGTTCCCCGCCAAAACCTTGTTAGACAACCTTTTGGCTCCCGTACTGTCCTTTATTCTTTTTTCCTCAACCTCACCTGGCAATTCCCCACATCTTAAGCCAGTCACCAACGCATATTCCATCATCCCGAAACGTAGTGGCTTTCCATCCACTACGAACCATATTTCGTGCCTTTTGTTACTTTTTATTGAGTGCAGCAACATATAATGCACTCCCGATCCCCAGAATGTCTTTTTCCATTGTGTCCATATCCCAAAAATGACTGAAACAAGTCTCTTTGAATCTCCTTTCACCATTCCTCACTGTCCCTAAAATCCCTGTTATTCTCGTTAAAACATCCTAACTTGACCTCACTGTCACCCTCATAGGGAAGTACAGTACCGTATCGCTTACATACTCCAATCCGTACTCTCTATAGTTTACGCTCGGGAAAATCTATATAATCGATATAAACAAAATATCAGCAAAAAAATTAAACCAAATCAAATATAAACAAAATACACTCTGGAAGAATCGCTTAAGCGATAGGCAGATGATTCTGCCTCATACAAGATGATCGTTTAAGAGTAAAAGGGACGAATCTCTTAAGCGATTCGTCGATTTTACTCTTGGTCACTTAAGCGATTTAAGATCGCTTAAGCGATCTCTTCCGAGGGAGAATCAACATCTGCCTAGATCTAAGATCGCTTAAGCGATTCGACGCTTTTACTCTTAAGTGATCTGAAATCGCTTAAGCGATACAAAGGATCGCTTAAGCGATTATAGATCTGGGCAGATTTGATTCTGTCTCGGAAGAGATCGCTTAAGAGATCTTGTACGAGGCAGAATCCATCTGCCAGATCTAAGATCGCTTAAGCGATTCATCGCTTTTACTCTTAAGCAATCCTAAATAGCTTAAGCGACCAAGAGTAAAAGCCATCGATCGCTTAAGCGATCTTAGGTCTCGGCAAGTACAAATACCTTTTCTTCGACGGCCTCCTCCTCTTTGGCAGCCTCCTCCTCGCCTGAACTCTCGCCGGACTCCTCTTCCTAGCCTGAATTCGGCCCGGCCTCCTCTTCTTGGCCTGAATTTTGCCCGGCCTCCTCTTCCTGGCCTGAATTTTGCCCGGCCTCCTCTTCCTCTTCAGAACCGTTTTGCTCCTGTTCTCTCTCTTGTTGTGCCGCCGTTGTCTCCGCTACTGGAACACCTTTACTGATAGGAGGATCCACCAGAGTAGCCATTGAACTGCTTGCGCCGTCGGACTCTACGATTCGAAGAGGAGTTGGGTTTTCCTCCTCATTGTGAATGTCAGCCATGGTTTTAAGAAAAGAAGAAGCTTTAGGATTGAATTTGGGTGTGAAAATTTTCAGGAATGTGGACTATTATTGCCGGAAATTGCACAGAATGCGTTTAGGTATTGAAGATATCGATTTTTGCCTTAATTGGTTTCGATTAAGCGATTTGAATGGGTGGGGCTTTTTTTCAAATTTCAAATTTTAAAAACTATCATTAATTATATTTTGTCCTTATATGTTTTAATCTTTTCATTTTAACCCATTTTACATGTTTAATGGATCCTAACTGTGCCATGTCAGCTTCTCTAAATTAAAAAAAAAAATGAAAAACAGTTTCAAGGCCATTTTCTTAAATCGAAACTTCGGATGGCCGGTCAGCTAAATTTTCTCCACCCCTAACTGCAATCTTGCGAGTAGAGGAGTGTGCAACCAACAGATGCGTGCGCGAGAGTTGGTGAAGAGCAACATCTGGGCTTGCATGTCGTACGCTGGTGTAGATAGCACGGTTGGAAGCAGTAGTATACGAAAACATTTGGCTGGTGCAATTGCACACTGGAGCATATCTGCGTGGTTAGAAGCAGCGGTGAACGAAAACGCCAGCAGCGTCAGATCCTGTGCGGTGATGGCGATGCGGGATTTTGCGAGCAAACAGGTTGGAAATTGCAACTTGAGGTCATGCGGTACAAATAGGAAGTGAAGCGCCGTGATAGGGCACTTAAATAGTAGCAAAAAGCCACCTGCCGACGCCCATGCCAATCACAAGATTGGTGGCTGGCGACTGTGGGTTAAGGAGGGAGAGAGGAGCATGATTTCTGGTTAGGGAGAGAAATGGAGGGCTGTGACTAAGGGAGGGAGAGAGAAGCGACAGAGGAGAAAAACTAGTTTTAGAAAAAGGGTGCTTGGGAGAGAAATTTGAGATGCGGAGGGTTATTTTGGTTTTTTTTTTTTTCATTTCAGATTTAATTTAATGCAAATGACCACTTTACCCTTTGATAAACATTTTTTTGTTAATTTAAACAATAATACTAACCTAACAAATCCCCCTCACTAAACTTATGTGGGAGTTTGTGATTAGTTTGATCAGGCGAGACCCTTGTGAATTGACGAATTGTGAGCTGACACGTGGCGTTTGTGAGAGAAAGTTAGTGAGTGTAGTGTTACTCTAATTTAAATGTGAGAATATATAATTTATGAAACCAGGGGTGGGAACTTGCTATTTTGAGAAACCTTGGGTGGGAACATGTTGTTTACTCATTTCAATTTAATCCATTTAGGCAATTTATTAATTTATGATTTTCATCAATAAAAATAATTAAATAAGTAATCTTAGAATACAGTATTTTTACTTAATAAAATCTATTGATTATTTTTCATTTGTATGGAAGCTAATTAAGTTGATTGGTCTAATTATAAAACTATATTAAATTCAAGATAATGGTGAAAGATACTTGTGTGGAAAGATTCTTAAAGGGTATTTGTTTGAGCTTGTAAGCTCCAAAATTAAGCTGACATGTTTGTTTATAACTTTTTTATTTATAACTTCTTTAGATTTATAAGTTGAGCTTATAAGAAAAAAAAAAAGTTAGGAGGAGATATATATATATATATATATTTTTTGCAACTTATAAACGCTCTGCTTATAAGTTAGTTTGACAATGTATATTACCATATTATCTATATTTAATTTTAAAATTTTATGGTATAATTTATTATTTGATAAAATAATATAGTATTATTTTTAGTTATTTTAATAATAAAATGTAGACATATTTTATTAAACGCGTTAACTACTTATCAGTCATTTATAAGTATTTTAACCAAACACGTAACTGTTTAAAATTTCAAATGTTTATAAATTCAAATTAGCTTATAAATAATTAATTTTTATAAGCTCAACCAAACAGGCTCTCAGTTGCTAATTGGGAAATTAAATAATATAATTTTATGTGAATTTCTTCATAATTTTTCCTCTCTCTCCTTTCAAGGCTACCAACCACAATAGAGTTCTTTTTTTTTGTTTTCATCAATAGATATTTTACATAGAAATTTTTATTCTTTATCAAGTAATTTCCACCCACTTTTTTATATAACATAATTATTCATACAATTATACAAAGTAAAGATAATATTAAATATTTCTAATTTAGATTATGTATTGGAGAGAAAATTGGAAGGGCAATCTCAATAAAAATTATAAAATTTGTATGGTATCAAAACCTAGTGAAATTCAAAATGCAAAAGCATAATTTTAATCAAATTTTTTGTACCCCAAGAGTAAAAACTAAACTCATCCACCTAATCTTACATATGTAAGATTGTAATAATCTATTCGGATTGTATAATATTAACACGAGCCAATCAGAGCCATGCAAATTAGATTAAATAAAAATAAAAATTAATTAATTAATTAATTAATTTGACAAGTATAAATTTACAACAAATCACTGTTTCTCTTCTATTTCTTGATAAAAATTAAATTACTTTTCTTGTTTTTGTTTTTATATTAAAATCACAAGCACCTTGCTCTCTCGCTCCCTCTCCCTCTCCCTCTCTCATTCTCCGATCTGAAAATCACCCTACTGTAATCTCCTGCTTTCACTCTTTACGGATCTCTCTTCCTTATTCTTTTCTATTGTCGTTGCGATCATTCAAACCCTCTCACTTTTCGATCTCTTTCTCCTTCTCTCTTTCTCGCTAGGGTTTCTGTCTAACGCACCCTAAATCTCATTCTTATCTCAGGCAAGTCCCTCTTTATTTATATTTATTAAAGCCTCTGCCTGTTTTTATTTTTTTGGAAGACGGAATGATGTCGCTTTAGAATTTTATTTTCTCAAACCTTAGAAGCTTGCAGCATGTCACCGGTAGTTGCTATTTTTAGTTTCTATCTTTAAATTTTATTTTTTGATGGTGAGATTTTGTGTTTCTTTGTTTCTGGTTGCTTTAAGGTAGTTTTTGCGTTTATTAGAATTAATTGTTGGTGATTTCTTTATTTATTTTTGGTTTTGTTTGTGGAGTGTTTGGTGTATTTGGATGATTTGTTCTTGATTACTGGCGTTTTTTTTGTTTTTTAATGTTTGGTAATCGAGTGCGTAGAAAGTGTTTGGTATCTTAGTAGATATTGAAGTGCAAATGTTGATAATAAAACAAAATCTTAACGTGCTTATTGGGATTAATGGTTTTTGAATTATGACTTGTAACTTGATGTGTTTCAAACAAGGATAGCTGAAATATGTGGATAAATGGATAAGTGTAAGGGGGCTATGAGTGTTATGATTTTGGACTTTGGGTGGGGAGGATTTTGGATGGTTAAATGGAATTAGCGGGAAGAGGGTTTTATCAAGTTGAAAAGAGAGAAACTGGATAGAGAAAATAGGAATTTAGAGCATGGTTGCTGGTTATGGTTTACTTGAATGGTGATGCTGAGAGAGCATATGGGTGGTTATTGGGAGCTGTGTAAAGCAATTTCCATTAAAAAGGGGGTTCTGTGTTCACCTGAATATGTTAGTTTAGTACTGCATGTCAAATATTTGAAATGACCTCCAAATTACATGATAATCTTAACTAATGTTTGATGTACTGTTCCATTGAATTTATGGCCTATATAAAGATTAATTGGTTTTCAAATCCCAGTCTAGCCATAGAGAACTGTAGTTGGCAGGTATATGATTTGGGATCTAGGGCGTTAGGTCTTCACCTTAACAATGTCTTAACACTTGAGTTATGGGCCTTGAGCTTGGGTTTAGATGCGATTTGTTTGTTTACAGGTTTGTACTTTTGGTGAGGACTATCTGGTAAGCGAATTGTTGTTTCATGTGAAGATTCAATCAGTGAAACTTGTTACTAATGTGGTAGGACTCTTAGTGGATAGAAACTGTTGTTTGTTCTGATGGTTGCTGGCTGAGTGTTGAATGTTCTCTGGAGCTTAAACCATTTTGTTCTTCTAAGGGATGGAATTTAGCAAGTAGAGAAATAAGTTTTGAAGGACTTGTCCTAGAAGTCTAGCATGCAAAATGTGTCAGGCTTATGGTACTTTTCTAGAGAAGAATTGAGAGTACCTTTTTGTTTAATGGGCCATTTCATATGTTAGGTTGTGTTACCAGTTTCTAGAACAAGTGGTACAATGCAGAATGAATCAGTGGATTTCTTATCATGGAATTAGCCTTTATAGAGCACTTTACTGACAGATTTAATGTTTCAAAGTCTACAAAGATGATTCTATTCAGGTTTTCTGTTGTGTTAACTGATGGTGGATGGGTGAAGATGCCTTTTTACTTTGGTTGAAATGCATTTATCAGTTTTGAAACTGAACTTGTCTTTTGTTTCTGCTATTTTAGTTTTTCATTATCATTTTCATTTGGTGAAGCAATATTATTGAGGAGTTACAAGTTTATTGACCCTATATCCACACAATAAAGTATTATGAATTTAACCGTAAGTTTTATCAGTAAAAAAATTTGATGTAATTACATGGTACACATGAAGTAACATGTTTGCTCATAATTGATCTTTCAATGTCCAATTAGTCAAATGCGTAATAATTCATCTTGCGGAGTTTCTTCCCCCTTATTATATTTAGCACAATTAATATGGGGACTACTTGGCTTAATAATCTGTTCGTAAGAAACTCGTTTGATATTATATACTTGGTAGGTGACTTTAAGGGGATTTGTCAAGCCTTATGGTTGAAATACTTTGGTTATACTATTTAATTCACATCTTTGGGTTGAATTTTGTGATTTTTAATCGTTTTGGATTGATGTCAAAGAGTTTGGTGGTTATTTGTTACATTATATGTGTAAGTATGTGCAGGGTGTATCTGGCTATTTCAATGGGCTTTTGAATTATACATTCTTATAATATGTGGTAGCTGTGCTTGTTTTGGAAATGGGGGAATATCACTATTCATATAGCTTTTTTTTAAATAAAATAATTGGGCATTGGTAATCTTACTTATGTCTTTCCTTGCAGCTGCCTGAAAAAATAATCGTTATTGCAATATTTATAAGACTTTATACTGATTGATTTAATTGTTTTCTCTTTACACAGATTGCTTCAAAATTGTTTGAATGACCTTGCAACGACAGCTTAACCATGACTTCAAGTATGTTGACTGGAGAGCGAAGGTACCCTGTTATTTTGCAATATGGGATATACTTAAGCTATTTTTAGTTCTTAGAGCTCATGTTTGTTCAGAAGTTGTAGGTAAATTGCGTAAGGTGATTAAGGGATGATATATTCAATTTTTATTTGAAATATGATGTTATTAGGCCTGTTTTAGTTATTTTCCCATTTGTGCAAGTTACTTTGCTGCATTTGATGTTAATAGTTTACAATCAGTATAGGGTTGGGAGCATTGTTGGATATATATGGTTATAAGGCACATTATGTTATAAGCAATTTCTTGTTTTTTAATTTTATCTTTTGTAAATATTTTGCAGGTGGGCTTCTGCCAGAAGAAGTGGCATGACATCTTTGGGGAAAATTGCTGTTCCTAAACCAATTAACTTACCCAGCCAAAAGTATCCATTTGACTGCTCTCTTTCTTTGTTTTCATATACTTTAAAGTTCAGTTAATGGATGTGTTTGGGTTTCCCTTTTAAATCTCATGTTTTCTCTCTTTGTTTCAAGGTTAGAAAATCATGGGCTGGACCCGAATGTGGAAATTGTTCCCAAGTGAGTAACATGTCTTTGTGTTTGGGTTCTTGCCTGCTTCCCCCACATATTTTTAGCATTTAATGCCTCTGGGTGCACTTAATTGTTTCCTTTTTTCAGTTTAAAAAGGCTTAAGTGGTGCTTGGATTAATTAATAATTTTTATACACTTGATAGGGGTACACTTAGCTGGGGAAGTAGGTCATCTTCTTCTGCATCAAATGCATGGGGTTCCTCGACATTGTCTCCAAATGCTGATGGTGGTACTGGCTCTCCAAGCCATCTTAGTGGCCGCCCTTCATCTGGTGGGAGTGGTACTCGACCATCAACTTCAGGTAGTGATAGAGCCCATGAATCAATTGCTAGTGCATGGGGTTCAAATTCTAGACCATCATCAGCTTCTGGAGTATTGACATCAAACAAGACATCACTGGCATCTTTACGCCCTCGAAGTGCAGAAACAAGACCTGGTAGCTCACAATTGTCCCGGTTTGCTGAACCATTATCTGACAATTCGGTGGCTTGGGGTTCAGCTGCAACAGCCGAAAAGTTGGTATGGTCCCGTTGTTAATTAGTTCATTTGTAATTATCAACTACTGAAAATACACACGTAATCATCAAGAAGTCACAAGTATTCGTTTAAGAGATTTTCTATTTTCTGATTTTGTTGGTAAGAATATGTGTCAGCAAGTTATTAGTAACACACCATGTTTATTGATCTGTATATGCGAGTGAAATTCTTTTTCATAAGCCTGTTGGGTATATCGACTCAGCTTGTGAACTGATTCAAATGCATTTTTTAACCTATGATTTTGTTTTCCAGTTGGGTTTGGCTGTACTCGAGTAAAGTTTTGATTGTATTCAAGGAACGATAGTTTGTTGCTAGAATTAGTGCAGTTGACAATGCTAAGGAAATTGGTTGTCCTAGAATGTTGCGTCTCTGGTTGTATTTGATTCTTACCGTTGTTGAAATACTCCAGACAAAAGAAAAATGTATGCAAATCTTTTCCTTAAGCAGAGTTAGAGCAAAATTTTATATGAAACTAGTGTGTAATCTTATGTTAGGATTTTCTTAAATTATTACAACATTTTATATATTCATGTTGTTCCAAAGAAAGTTATATGAAAAGCAATATAAGATTTTTGAATTTTATTGTTATACAAAAAGCCTCCATGGGACTTGAACTCTCGCTTGTGTATGTGCTTTTGTGATTTAAAAGAGAATAGAAAAATATCTTTCTAGAAAAGGAAGATAGAGAAAACTATCAACACCTGGTCAGCCTTATGTTATTCGCTCTCTGAGGTTTTCTCTTTTGTTTCCAAATGATATGACTTTTGCTAGTTATTAACTGTTATACATGCAGGGGGTTAAATCCTCTAGGAATGATGGGTTTTCTCTAACTTCTGGAGACTTTCCAACCCTTGGTGCAGAGAAAGACAATGTGGGAAAGAACACAGAGCCACAAGGTTTCATGTTTAATTTTGTTTTACGGGCATATGATATAGTTGTATGTTAGCCTGTTCATTTTGTAGTTTTATGAACATGATTGGCTACTTGTTCAAGAATGGTTTCTTTATATTCCCTTTACAGTATCAATAAAACTTCATTTTCTTGCATTGCAGAGCACAGTTCTCATGGTCAGCCCAAAATGTCTTCAGGTGGGGTGGCCCCACTGAAAGATAGAACTGAGACTTCTGTATCTGGTTTGTGTGCATGAACTTAATTTTCATTGTCAAAAAGAAAGAAAGAAAAGTGAGATGATTTTGATTTATGTTTATAAAGTAGTGTCATTCTCTTAATCCTTAAGGTATGTTTTCCCAAATTTCAGGTGATGTTTCTGTAAACGCAAATGTGAGGAGTGGAACTGCAAATTCATGGAGAAGAGATAATATTCCATATGGTGAAGATGGAGGGCGGCCCAATGTGGAGAAGTGGCAAGCAGATCCTCATGGACCCCATCCATACCCAAATGCCGCTATGCCGCCTCAGCATTATGAGGCTTGGCATGGTCCTCCAATCAATAATCATCCTGGTGGTGTTTGGTATAGAGGACCTCCAATCAATAATCCAGGAGGTCCTCCATATTCTCCAGTTCCTCCTGGGGGCTTCCCCATGGAACCGTTTCATTTTTATCGCCCTCCTATGCCAACAACTGGGCTTCCTAATCCACAGCCTGTTCCCCCACCGGGAGCGGGACCAAGGGCACACCATTCAAAAAATGGGGATATGTACAGACCTCCTATGCCTGATGCTTATATGCGCCCAGGTATGCCAATTAGGCCTGGATTTTATCCTGGTCCAGTGGCCTATGAGGGCTACTATGGGCCTCCCATGGGTTACCGTAATCCCAATGAACGAGATGTACCATTTATGGGAATGGCACCTGGTCACCCTGCTTATAACAGGTACTCTGGTCAGAATGTTCATGATCCCAACAATTCCCACCCTAGATCCAGTGGATATGGTCCTAATGGCAAAGGCTTGGCTTCAGAACAAGTAGAACCTATGGGTCATCCTCTTGATGGTCGAGGACCATACAGGGTGCTCTTAAAGCATCAAGATGGTTGGGATGGGAAGGATGAAGAACAGAAGTGGGAAGACACTGTAACTGATGCATCACATGTTGAGAAGGGTGACCAACCAAGAGCGTCATCATGGGATGAGGACTGGAGAGGAGATTACAGAAAAGATGAAGAGATGAATTTAAAACGAAAGGCTATTGATGAAGAAACTTCTTTTCAGACATCTGACCATGTTGGAGGTTCTTCTGTACCTGTCAAAGTTAAGTCACCTGAAAGTATGGGAACAAAGGCATTTGATGACATTTCAGTGAAGAAGTTGGAACATCCAACTACTGTCTTACCAGAAAACCCTGCTGCCGCAAAAGGTTCCTCTTTGATTCAGAAAATAGAGGGTTTAAATGCTAAGGCGCGTGCCTCAGATGGTAGATATGATCTCATATCTGTTTCCAGTAAGGAGGAACAAAAGAATAAACCACAAGTTGTTAATCATGAGGCTAACCATTCTGCCAATGAAGCTGCTGCTAGTTCTTTATATCCTGGTAGAAGTCATGCCAGTGGAAGTAATAATCCTGCTTTGCACGATGGCAGTTTTTCTGCTGGAGATAAGAGTGTTGAATCAGCTGCTGCCAGTGGAACAGTTGTCTCAAGGTTGTTTTTTTAATTTGTAGGTTTCTATAGGGAATATTTGTTATTTTCAATGTTTTGGAAGTACTGAAATGCAGATTTGCAGGAGATCTACTCATGCCATGCATGGTAGAACTGATCATCGTGGCAAAGGAAGATTTAATTCCCAAGAGGTTGATGGGTGGCGGAAGAAATCTCCAATTGCAGACTCTCCAAGTGTAACATGTGCTACACATTCTGAAAGTTCTATTGTTCACATGCAAGATCTGGCTCTCAAGGAGGCTGCTGAACAGTCTGCGTCATATCTTCAAGGGAAGGATGAAGGGGAGTCCATGCTACCCATGTCTGATTCCAATGATAGCGAAGCGCAGGTAATTTACTTTTATATTGTACGCCTGCTGGTTTTATGGATCGGAAAATTTTCTTATAACAATTATTTTGACTTGTTCCATCAGCGTGCTAAGATGAGAGAACTAGCCAAGCAACGTGTCAAACAACGTCAGAAGGAAGAGGAAGAACGGGCGAGAGACCAGAAGGCCAGGGCTCTTGCAAAGTTGGAGGATCTGAACAGACGTTCACAAGCAGTGGAAGTTTCAACCCAGAAGTCTGAGGTTTTTCTTAGTGTTGATGTCCAGAATAAACAAGAAGAATCCCAGTCTCTGGTTGAATCAATTAAGGTTGCTAGCAAATCTGGAGCATCAACGTCAGGTTTGGTTTCTACCTCAAGTGATGTGGCACAAAGTAGTGAAAGTGGCAGCAGCAGTAGAGTTGAAAAATCCACTGTTTTGTCCAATGAGCTCCTTCAAGAGAGACCAAAGAGTGGCCACAAGGAACCTGTTGGGATGTATAAGCATAATGAATCTATTCCCGTAATACAGGATGTTAATGACCCTGTTCATCAAAACAATGCCCCTCAGGTATATGAAGGTAGCATGTCTAGACAGAAGCGGGTAAGCTATAAGCAGAAGAATATTCTGTCAGAAAGGAATTCCTCTGAGAAGTTTATCAGTACTAGCACAACTGAGTCACTGAAAGGCCATACTGATTTAATAGTTAATGCTGCCACATCCATTGAGGTTGTTACCGATGAAATTACCCCTAGCAGTGAGTCAAGTTTGCCTGGCAATCCAAATGTCATGGTTGAGTCCTCTGTACATCAAAAGAGGAGAAATAACAGGAGTGGCAAGAAGCACAAAGTAGAAGAGGCTTTGTCTGTGACCGCCTTACCAGTAGTAACAGAAGCATATATTATAAACACTTCAAGTGAAAGTAGTAAGGCAAAGGCTTCTGAATCTGAGTTGGATCCTAACTCTGTTCAGTCACCGATGGATCCTAAAGATGCAAATCAGTCTTCTGATATGTGCTTGTCTTCACCAACCGATGAAAACCATGGAAGAGCAAATAACCAGTGGAAATCTCAGCATCCTCGTAGGACATCAAGAACACAAGCTAATAAATCAGGAGAGAAATTCCATACTAATGATGCTGTTGTCTGGGCACCTGTGCGGACTCAGAACAAAGTTGAGGTGGCTGGTGATGCCAGTGAGAAATCTATGGTTGAGGTTTCATCTGTAAAGAGCGACCATCAAGTGCAAAATAATTCAAGAAACAAGAGGGCCGAAATGGAGAGATACATTCCTAAGCCTGTAGCCAAAGAAATGGCTCAACAAGGTAGTATTCAACAGCATATATTGATTCCTTCGGTTGATCAGACCACGTCACATGAGATTTTTGGTAGAGCAGATTCTGGTTTTCCCGGTGCAGACAGTTCCCAAGCTGCTGGGTTTGCCAGTGGGAAGATGGGGGTGGCTATGGAGTCTAAAAATGGGGATAATAGGCAGAATAAACAGGGAAAAATGCATGGATCATGGCGCCAACGGGCTTCTTCTGACATTGTGCAAGGGTTGCATGATGCACAGTCTTCGAATGCCAGTAGGAATGTTCAAAAATCAATTGAGCATTCCCAACCCCAAAAGCCTGATGTAAGCTCAGTGAAAGAGCAGCCCAAGTATTACGATGATTGGGGTTCTGATGGCTGGAACATGCCTGAAAATCCTGACTCTGCGGTACCACTTACTGTTCCTGTTGCAAAAGATCAGGGAGTGGCATCCAGAGGAAAGCGTCATCAGTACAAGGGGCAGAAAGGCACAGGAAATAATCATGATCATGATCACAAGAAGATCAATAGCGCGGATGCTGATAAGAGTTATGTGCAATCTTCGGTACCTGTACCTGAGATGAGTCAATCTGACTTGCCTTCTGCTTCAAAAGAAAATCGAACTTCTCATTGGCAACCGAAACCACAGGCATTTTCAGCCTCTAATCAACAAGGGAGCCGGCCCAGCAGTGGTCAAACTGTAGGGACGGAAGTTGGGAGGGCTAATAGAAAGGACTCCACTTCCCAAGGTGGGTTACAACAACCACCTCTTCCAGACAAGGAGACCAATGAAGTTATGGCTCAGTCTCATCATGTTCAGTCTGCATCCCATTCAAGCAAACTGGAAGAAGCACCAAATGTTGGCAATCAAGAACCCAAGAGAGAAAGGAGGATAGCATCAGTAAAAGGACGCCCCCACTCCCCAAACCAAGGTCCTGGTAACCAGGTTGAAACAGCTCCATCAAATACAGAGATTCGACATGAGCAACGCATGCCTTCAGGGTTCCGTAGAAATGGAAATCAGAGTAGCCGTTTTGGCAGGGGGCATGAATCTCGTGGAGATTGGACTTCATCTGCACAAGATAACAAACAACATAACCAACCTATCAACAGGGAGAGGCAGAGACACAATTCACAGTATGAGTACCAGCCTGTTGGACCTTACAATCATAGTAGTAGCAACAGGGGAAACAACTATGAAGGACCAAAAGATGCCCCTAATAATGCAGCAGGGGGAAGGTATAGGGAGAGGGGTCAGAGTCACTCAAGGCGCGGTGGGGGGAACTTCCATGGAAGGCAAAGTGGTTGTGTTCGAGCAGCAGATGGTAGTTATGATTAGTGAAGAAAATAAGCCCAGATGGGTGGTTTATTGTATGGTCAAAAATCAAATCCCAATGAAGTGTAGTGGCTTGATCCCACAAGTTTTCAGGTATTGTAGTTGAGGTCGCATTTTGAATTGTAGATATAAACTAAAACTAAATCATCTTGGAACTGATGGTTGTGAATTTAGCAGGAGGCTTAGGAGGAAAGCAAAGATTGTGCTAGACAAAAAGAAATAGTGAGTTTGAATGGAGGTACATGGAAGTGGATGATTTCTTGCCCTTATTTTTTAAAATGTACCTGATATGAGAACAACATTGTAATTTGGTCATGGTTGGTGTTACTATGGAACTTTTTTGCATTTTCATTGAGCCTTGTATTTAGTGATTAATATTTCACGTTGCTCTAATTATGGAACACGAATAGATAGGGGGAATGAAGTAGAGAAGAAGTTTTCTGGTTCTCCCACTTCACCCTCGATATCATTTTAATCCTTTGTTGTGGCTTGGCTTTACTCTGTGGATTGATGTTTGGGGTCTGTATGAACAGCTTTTTATGAGTAAAAGAATTCGACAGGAATAGACATAGAGCGGCATATCTCTGTATGACTTTGGAAGTCCTATTTTGTGGATGATTTCCATTTCCAACGGGCTGTAGTTATAATAAAAATACCTAAATCTTCCATCAAATTTTCAATTATAGAATAGAAACAGTATCATTAATTTCTTAATGCCAGAAGTTTGGCCTAAGTACCAAAAAAATAGAGAAAAAATGTCACTTATTAGAGAAATTAAGGTATAAATTATCACCTTTTACTTTTAGAATGTGTGGGCGACACATTGAAAATTTGAAAGGGGAACGTAGATTCAGTGGTTCTAACATGATAAGCGCGTACCACATCATGGGCCTGGCCCAAAAGAAGGGTAAAACCCGAAATAGCACTTTATTTACACCAAAATAACCTGATTACAAAAACGGGTCACTTCACAAAAGCCACTAATTTGTTTTTTGTTAAAAATTATTTTAATCGATTTACTTCGCCTTACCCTTACCCTTTGGTTTCTAATTCTATCCACTGTGAAATCAATCCAGAAGAAACCCATCCTCTATAAATAAACCCTAAATTCACCGTTTAAAGCTTTCTCTTCTCCCTATCCACTACCTATCTTCAATAATCAATTGCATCTTCATACCTTCTCACACGCACGCTCATGATTTCTTTTACTCAGGTATTATCTCTGTTTTCAGCTTCAATTTTTAATTCTAAGCTTCTTCCTTCTCTTTTTTTTACGGATATTTTCTGGAAGGGTCTTTTTTTTTTTTTTTTGTAGCTTTTTTTGGTTTCCTGGATAATAGAGAAGGAGGGAAAATACTTATTTGAAGGTTTCAATTCTTTGTTGTTTTTGGTTTTTAAACGTTATGGGTAAATTTATTTGCCTTGGAGAAATGTTTTGGGTGAGGTTTTAGCTAGGGCTTCTGTTTGGGTGCTGAGAAAACCGAGGAAAACAAGAACATGCGGGAAATAAATGTTAATTATCCTAATTTTTGCTGCTTAAGGATAAGCTTAACTAAAATTTTTGAGCTTCTTGTTTCCGCTTTCTTAGATAATGTAAGGGTTCTTCACATTATGCGTTTGTAAAACTTGGTTTTTGAAAAAAATAAATGTAAGTCATTGTTTTTTTTTTTTTTAAAACTCCTTCTGTTTTGTTATCTTTTGGTCTTTTTAAGATTATATTTTAATTATCATTGTGGTGAAAGTAGCTCTTATCTAGCAACTGTTTATTGAATTAGGTCCTATTGAGTAAATGATCCGGTGCTTAGGGTCAAGACAATGGTGTTGGTAACCCATCAGTTGCAGGTAAGCCTGTAAAAGTGGGCATTCTTTATGTGTCTGTCTGTCAATTTTGCATCTAAATTTCATGAAGCCTAGACTTGCGGGAAAATTTGTATTGATTTTGAAATATGCTGGCATAACCAACTGAAGAATCTAAATTATAGTTGTGTGGCTGTGCTGCTCCAAATAATGGTTGCAGGTTATGTAGTTTCTAGTACAGAACCGTATAAATCTTCATATTTGGCAGTCGGAGAATTGTGTAAAACTATTTTCTTCCCCGTTTACGTGATATTAATTAATATCAGAATCTATATTGTTGATTCTATGCCTTTGGGTATTATAATTATTGGAATATATATTTTGATTAACATCGTAGGTCTTAGTGTCTCAGTTCAAATAAGTTTAAGGATTTGCGCTTTTATTATATGCCAAATCTAATATTTCTTAGCAAGTTTGCCATTGAAATAACTATCCGTTTTAAGATAAACCTATTGGAGCAATTGGAGCACTACACCAATGTTCCTTTATCTTCCTTTTTTCATATAAGTGTACATACCCTACATATAATCTCGAACATTTCTAGTTTCCAAAATCACGGAATTGAATGTCATTATGGTAATAAGCAGAAACTATGCCACTTGCTGCATTATATATATTCTGTATGTTCCTGAGTGGAAACTATTAGCTTTCCAGTTCAGCCTCCTGGTTATATAATGCCTCTTATCCTGTGTCTTCATCATGAATTGCTAGTTCAATCCTGTAGGTGATGATATGTTTTCATGGAACCTCCCTAGTTTGAACCTTTTCTTTCTGTTTCGCTCTGATGTGTCATATCTATTAAAGTTTTCATTTATGTATGCTACTACTAGAATTGAGTTTTTGAGTTTCTTTTTGCTTGTCTGAACTTGTAGAATAAATGTTTTGTCTATTGCATTTCAGGGTTCATATGTAGCATTTCCCACGAAGCGTTTATCATGGAGCAAAGGGTTAATAGTGTAAGTTGATAGAGACTAGCCAAGCAACGTGTCAAACACGTCGAAGGAAGGAAGAACGGGCGGAGACCAGAAGGCCAGGGCTCTTGCAAAGTTGGAGGATCTGAACAGACGTTCACAAGCAGTGGAAGTTTCAACCCAGAAGTCTGAGGTTTTTCTTAGTGTTGATGTCCAAATAAACAAGAAGAATCCCAGTCTCTGGTTGAATCAATTAAGGTTGCTAGCAAATCTGGAGCATCAACTTCAGGTTTGGTTTCTAACTCAGTGATGTGGCACAAAGTAGTGAAAGGCGCAGCAGTAGAGTTGAAAAATCCACTGTTTTGTCCAATAGCTCCTTCCTAGAGAGACCAAAGAGTGGCCACAAGGAACCTGTTGGGATGATAAGCATAATGAATCTATTCCCAATACAGGATGTTAATGACCCTGTTCACGAAACAATGCCCCACGGTATATGAAGTAGCTGTCTAGACAAAGCGGTAAGCTATAAGCAGAAGAATATTCGTCAGAAAGGAATTCCTCTGAGAATTTTATCAGTACTAGCACAACTGAGTCACTGAAAGGCCATACTGATTTAATAGTTAATGCTGCCACATCCATTGAGGTTGTTACCGATGAATTACCCCTAGCATGAGTCAATTTTGCCTGGCAATCCAAATGTCATGGTTGAGTCCTCTGTACACAAAGAGGAGAAATAACAGGAGTGGCAAGAAGCACAGAGTAAGAGGCTTCATCTGTGGCCGCCTTACCAGTAGTAACAGAAACACATATTTGAACACTTACGTGAATTAGTAAGACGAGGCTTCTGAATCTGAGTTGATCCTAACTCTTTCAGTCACCGACGATCCTAAAGATGCAAATCAGTCTTCTGTATGTGCTTGTCTTCACCAACCGATGAAAACCATGGAAGAGCAATAACCAGTGGAAATCTCAGCATCCTCGTAGGACATCAAGAACACAAGCTAATAATCAGAGAGAAATTCCATATAATGAGCTGTTGTCTGGGCACCGCGGACTCAGAACAAAGTTGAGGTGGCTGGTGTGCTAGTGAGAAATCTATGGTTGAGGTTCATCTGTAAGAGCGACCATCAAGTCAAAATAATTCAAGAAACAAGAGGGCGAAATGGAGAATACATCCTAAGCCTGTAGCCAAAGAATGGCTCAACAAGGTAGTATTCAACAGCATTTTGATTCCTTCAGTTGATCAGACCACGTCACATGAGTTTTTTGGCAGAGCAGAATCTGGTTTTCCCGGTGCAGACAGTTCCCAAGCTGCTGGGTTTGCCAGTGGGAAATGGCGGTGGCTATGGAGTCTAAAAATGGGGATAATAGCAGAATAAACAGGGAAAAATGCATGGATCATGCGCCAACGGGCTTCTTCTGACATTGTGCAAGGGTCGCATGATGCACATTCTTCGATGCCAGTAGGAATGTTCAAAAATCAACTGAGCATTCCCAACCCCAAAGCCTGATGTAGCCAGTGAAAGAGCAGCCCAAGTATTACGATGATTGGGGTTCTGTGGCTGGAACATGCCTGAAAATCCTGCCCTGCGGTACCACTTACTGTTCCTGTTGCAAAAGATCAGGGAGTGGCATCCAAGGAAAGCGTCATCATACAAGGGGCAGAAAGGCACGGAAATAATCATGATCATGATCACAAGAAGATCAATACGTGGATGCTGATAAGATTTATGTGCAATCTTCGGTACCTGTACCTGAGATGAGTCAATCTGACTTGCCTTCTGCTTCAAAAGAAAATCGAACTTCTCATTGGCAACCGAAACCACAGGCATTTTCAGCCTCTAATCAACGGGGAGCCGGCCCAGCATGGTCAAATGTAGGGACGGAAGTTGGGAGGGCTAATAGAAAGGACTCCACTTCCCAGTGGGGTTACAACACCACCTCTCCGACAAGAGACAATGAAGTTATGGCTCAGTCTCATCATGTTCAGTCTGCATCCCATTCAAGCAAACTGGAAGAAGCACCAAATGTTGGCAATCAAGAACCCAAGAGAGAAAGGAGGATAGCATCAGTAAAAGGACGCCCCCACTCCCCAAACCAAGGTCCTGGTAACCAGTTAACAGCTCCATCAAATACAAGATTCGACATGAGCAACGCATGCCTTCAGGGTTCCGTAGAAATGGAAATCAGAGTAGCCGTTTGGCAGGGGGCATGAATCTCGTGGAGATTGGACTTCATCTGCACAAGATAACAACAACATAACCAACCTATAAACAGGGAGAGCAGCGACACAATTCACAGTGTAGAGTACCGCCTGTTGGACCTTACAATATAGTAGTAGCAACAGGGGAAACAACTATGAAGGACCAAAAGATGCCCCTAATAATGCAGCAGGGGGAAGGTATAGGGAGAGGGGTCAGTCACTCAAGGCGCGTGGGGGGAACTTCCATGGAAGGCAAAGTGGTTGTGTTCGAGCAGCAGATGGTAGTTATGATTAGTGAAGAAAATAAGCCCAGATGGGTGGTTTATTGTATGGTCAAAAATCAAATCCCAATGAAGTGTAGTGGCTTGATCCCACAAGTTTTCAGGTATTGTAGTTGAGGTCGCATTTTGAATTGTAGATATAAACTAACTAAATCATCTTGGAACTGATGGTTGTGAATTTAGCAGGAGGCTTAGGAGAAAGCAAAGATGTGCTAGACAAAAAGAAATAGTGATTTTGAATGGAGTACATGGAAGTGGATGATTTCTGCCCTTATTTTTTAAAATGTACCTGATATGAGAACAACATTGTAATTTGTCATTGTCAAAGAAAGTTATATGAAAAGCAATATAAGATTTTTGAATTTTATTGTTATACAAAAAGCCTCCATCGGACTTGAACTCTCGCTTGTGTATGTGCTTTTGTGATTTAAAAGAGAATAGAAAAATATCTTTTTAGAAAAGGAAGATAGAGAAAACTATCAACACCTGGTCAGCCTTATGTTATTCGCTCTCTGAGGTTTTCTCTTTTGTTTCCAAATGATTTGACTTTTGCTAGTTATTAACTGTTATACATGCAGGGGGTTAAATCCTCTAGGAATGATGGGTTTTCTCTAACTTCTGGAGACTTTCCAACCCTTGGTGCAGAGAAAGACAATGTGGGAAAGAACACAGAGCCACAAGGTTTCATGTTTAATTTTGTTTTACGGGCATATGATATAGTTGTATGTTAGCCTGTTCATTTTGTAGTTTTATGAACATGATTGGCTACTTGTTCAAGAATGGTTTCTTTATATTCCCTTTACAGTATCAATAAAACTTCATTTTCTTGCATTGCAGAGCACAGTTCTCATGGTCAGCCCAAAATGTCTTCAGGTGGGGTGGCCCCACTGAAAGATAGAACTGAGACTTCTGTATCTGGTTTGTGTGCATGAACTTAATTTTCATTGTCAAAAAGAAAGAAAGAAAAGTGAGATGATTTTGATTTATGTTTATAAAGTAGTGTCATTCTCTTAATCCTTAAGGTATGTTTTCCCAAATTTCAGGTGATGTTTCTGTAAACGCAAATGTGAGGAGTGGAACTGCAAATTCATGGAGAAGAGATAATATTCCATATGGTGAAGATGGAGGGCGGCCCAATGTGGAGAAGTGGCAAGCAGATCCTCATGGACCCCATCCATACCCAAATGCCGCTATGCCGCCTCAGCATTATGAGGCTTGGCATGGTCCTCCAATCAATAATCATCCTGGTGGTGTTTGGTATAGAGGACCTCCAATCAATAATCCAGGAGGTCCTCCATATTCTCCAGTTCCTCCTGGGGGCTTCCCCATGGAACCGTTTCATTTTTATCGCCCTCCTATGCCAACAACTGGGCTTCCTAATCCACAGCCTGTTCCCCCACCGGGAGCGGGACCAAGGGCACACCATTCAAAAAATGGGGATATGTACAGACCTCCTATGCCTGATGCTTATATGCGCCCAGGTATGCCAATTAGGCCTGGATTTTATCCTGGTCCAGTGGCCTATGAGGGCTACTATGGGCCTCCCATGGGTTACCGTAATCCCAATGAACGAGATGTACCATTTATGGGAATGGCACCTGGTCACCCTGCTTATAACAGGTACTCTGGTCAGAATGTTCATGATCCCAACAATTCCCACCCTAGATCCAGTGGATATGGTCCTAATGGCAAAGGCTTGGCTTCAGAACAAGTAGAACCTATGGGTCATCCTCTTGATGGTCGAGGACCATACAGGGTGCTCTTAAAGCATCAAGATGGTTGGGATGGGAAGGATGAAGAACAGAAGTGGGAAGACACTGTAACTGATGCATCACATGTTGAGAAGGGTGACCAACCAAGAGCGTCATCATGGGATGAGGACTGGAGAGGAGATTACAGAAAAGATGAAGAGATGAATTTAAAACGAAAGGCTATTGATGAAGAAACTTCTTTTCAGACATCTGACCATGTTGGAGGTTCTTCTGTACCTGTCAAAGTTAAGTCACCTGAAAGTATGGGAACAAAGGCATTTGATGACATTTCAGTGAAGAAGTTGGAACATCCAACTACTGTCTTACCAGAAAACCCTGCTGCCGCAAAAGGTTCCTCTTTGATTCAGAAAATAGAGGGTTTAAATGCTAAGGCGCGTGCCTCAGATGGTAGATATGATCTCATATCTGTTTCCAGTAAGGAGGAACAAAAGAATAAACCACAAGTTGTTAATCATGAGGCTAACCATTCTGCCAATGAAGCTGCTGCTAGTTCTTTATATCCTGGTAGAAGTCATGCCAGTGGAAGTAATAATCCTGCTTTGCACGATGGCAGTTTTTCTGCTGGAGATAAGAGTGTTGAATCAGCTGCTGCCAGTGGAACAGTTGTCTCAAGGTTGTTTTTTTAATTTGTAGGTTTCTATAGGGAATATTTGTTATTTTCAATGTTTTGGAAGTACTGAAATGCAGATTTGCAGGAGATCTACTCATGCCATGCATGGTAGAACTGATCATCGTGGCAAAGGAAGATTTAATTCCCAAGAGGTTGATGGGTGGCGGAAGAAATCTCCAATTGCAGACTCTCCAAGTGTAACATGTGCTACACATTCTGAAAGTTCTATTGTTCACATGCAAGATCTGGCTCTCAAGGAGGCTGCTGAACAGTCTGCGTCATATCTTCAAGGGAAGGATGAAGGGGAGTCCATGCTACCCATGTCTGATTCCAATGATAGCGAAGCGCAGGTAATTTACTTTTATATTGTACGCCTGCTGGTTTTATGGATCGGAAAATTTTCTTATAACAATTATTTTGACTTGTTCCATCAGCGTGCTAAGATGAGAGAACTAGCCAAGCAACGTGTCAAACAACGTCAGAAGGAAGAGGAAGAACGGGCGAGAGACCAGAAGGCCAGGGCTCTTGCAAAGTTGGAGGATCTGAACAGACGTTCACAAGCAGTGGAAGTTTCAACCCAGAAGTCTGAGGTTTTTCTTAGTGTTGATGTCCAGAATAAACAAGAAGAATCCCAGTCTCTGGTTGAATCAATTAAGGTTGCTAGCAAATCTGGAGCATCAACGTCAGGTTTGGTTTCTACCTCAAGTGATGTGGCACAAAGTAGTGAAAGTGGCAGCAGCAGTAGAGTTGAAAAATCCACTGTTTTGTCCAATGAGCTCCTTCCAGAGAGACCAAAGAGTGGCCACAAGGAACCTGTTGGGATGTATAAGCATAATGAATCTATTCCCGTAATACAGGATGTTAATGACCCTGTTCATCAAAACAATGCCCCTCAGGTATATGAAGGTAGCATGTCTAGACAGAAGCGGGTAAGCTATAAGCAGAAGAATATTCTGTCAGAAAGGAATTCCTCTGAGAAGTTTATCAGTACTAGCACAACTGAGTCACTGAAAGGCCATACTGATTTAATAGTTAATGCTGCCACATCCATTGAGGTTGTTACCGATGAAATTACCCCTAGCAGTGAGTCAAGTTTGCCTGGCAATCCAAATGTCATGGTTGAGTCCTCTGTACATCAAAAGAGGAGAAATAACAGGAGTGGCAAGAAGCACAAAGTAGAAGAGGCTTTGTCTGTGACCGCCTTACCAGTAGTAACAGAAGCATATATTATAAACACTTCAAGTGAAAGTAGTAAGGCAAAGGCTTCTGAATCTGAGTTGGATCCTAACTCTGTTCAGTCACCGATGGATCCTAAAGATGCAAATCAGTCTTCTGATATGTGCTTGTCTTCACCAACCGATGAAAACCATGGAAGAGCAAATAACCAGTGGAAATCTCAGCATCCTCGTAGGACATCAAGAACACAAGCTAATAAATCAGGAGAGAAATTCCATACTAATGATGCTGTTGTCTGGGCACCTGTGCGGACTCAGAACAAAGTTGAGGTGGCTGGTGATGCCAGTGAGAAATCTATGGTTGAGGTTTCATCTGTAAAGAGCGACCATCAAGTGCAAAATAATTCAAGAAACAAGAGGGCCGAAATGGAGAGATACATTCCTAAGCCTGTAGCCAAAGAAATGGCTCAACAAGGTAGTATTCAACAGCATATATTGATTCCTTCGGTTGATCAGACCACGTCACATGAGATTTTTGGTAGAGCAGATTCTGGTTTTCCCGGTGCAGACAGTTCCCAAGCTGCTGGGTTTGCCAGTGGGAAGATGGGGGTGGCTATGGAGTCTAAAAATGGGGATAATAGGCAGAATAAACAGGGAAAAATGCATGGATCATGGCGCCAACGGGCTTCTTCTGACATTGTGCAAGGGTTGCATGATGCACAGTCTTCGAATGCCAGTAGGAATGTTCAAAAATCAATTGAGCATTCCCAACCCCAAAAGCCTGATGTAAGCTCAGTGAAAGAGCAGCCCAAGTATTACGATGATTGGGGTTCTGATGGCTGGAACATGCCTGAAAATCCTGACTCTGCGGTACCACTTACTGTTCCTGTTGCAAAAGATCAGGGAGTGGCATCCAGAGGAAAGCGTCATCAGTACAAGGGGCAGAAAGGCACAGGAAATAATCATGATCATGATCACAAGAAGATCAATAGCGCGGATGCTGATAAGAGTTATGTGCAATCTTCGGTACCTGTACCTGAGATGAGTCAATCTGACTTGCCTTCTGCTTCAAAAGAAAATCGAACTTCTCATTGGCAACCGAAACCACAGGCATTTTCAGCCTCTAATCAACAAGGGAGCCGGCCCAGCAGTGGTCAAACTGTAGGGACGGAAGTTGGGAGGGCTAATAGAAAGGACTCCACTTCCCAAGGTGGGTTACAACAACCACCTCTTCCAGACAAGGAGACCAATGAAGTTATGGCTCAGTCTCATCATGTTCAGTCTGCATCCCATTCAAGCAAACTGGAAGAAGCACCAAATGTTGGCAATCAAGAACCCAAGAGAGAAAGGAGGATAGCATCAGTAAAAGGACGCCCCCACTCCCCAAACCAAGGTCCTGGTAACCAGGTTGAAACAGCTCCATCAAATACAGAGATTCGACATGAGCAACGCATGCCTTCAGGGTTCCGTAGAAATGGAAATCAGAGTAGCCGTTTTGGCAGGGGGCATGAATCTCGTGGAGATTGGACTTCATCTGCACAAGATAACAAACAACATAACCAACCTATCAACAGGGAGAGGCAGAGACACAATTCACAGTATGAGTACCAGCCTGTTGGACCTTACAATCATAGTAGTAGCAACAGGGGAAACAACTATGAAGGACCAAAAGATGCCCCTAATAATGCAGCAGGGGGAAGGTATAGGGAGAGGGGTCAGAGTCACTCAAGGCGCGGTGGGGGGAACTTCCATGGAAGGCAAAGTGGTTGTGTTCGAGCAGCAGATGGTAGTTATGATTAGTGAAGAAAATAAGCCCAGATGGGTGGTTTATTGTATGGTCAAAAATCAAATCCCAATGAAGTGTAGTGGCTTGATCCCACAAGTTTTCAGGTATTGTAGTTGAGGTCGCATTTTGAATTGTAGATATAAACTAAAACTAAATCATCTTGGAACTGATGGTTGTGAATTTAGCAGGAGGCTTAGGAGGAAAGCAAAGATTGTGCTAGACAAAAAGAAATAGTGAGTTTGAATGGAGGTACATGGAAGTGGATGATTTCTTGCCCTTATTTTTTAAAATGTACCTGATATGAGAACAACATTGTAATTTGGTCATGGTTGGTGTTACTATGGAACTTTTTTGCATTTTCATTGAGCCTTGTATTTAGTGATTAATATTTCACGTTGCTCTAATTATGGAACACGAATAGATAGGGGGAATGAAGTAGAGAAGAAGTTTTCTGGTTCTCCCACTTCACCCTCGATATCATTTTAATCCTTTGTTGTGGCTTGGCTTTACTCTGTGGATTGATGTTTGGGGTCTGTATGAACAGCTTTTTATGAGTAAAAGAATTCGACAGGAATAGACATAGAGCGGCATATCTCTGTATGACTTTGGAAGTCCTATTTTGTGGATGATTTCCATTTCCAACGGGCTGTAGTTATAATAAAAATACCTAAATCTTCCATCAAATTTTCAATTATAGAATAGAAACAGTATCATTAATTTCTTAATGCCAGAAGTTTGGCCTAAGTACCAAAAAAATAGAGAAAAAATGTCACTTATTAGAGAAATTAAGGTATAAATTATCACCTTTTACTTTTAGAATGTGTGGGCGACACATTGAAAATTTGAAAGGGGAACGTAGATTCAGTGGTTCTAACATGATAAGCGCGTACCACATCATGGGCCTGGCCCAAAAGAAGGGTAAAACCCGAAATAGCACTTTATTTACACCAAAATAACCTGATTACAAAAACGGGTCACTTCACAAAAGCCACTAATTTGTTTTTTGTTAAAAATTATTTTAATCGATTTACTTCGCCTTACCCTTACCCTTTGGTTTCTAATTCTATCCACTGTGAAATCAATCCAGAAGAAACCCATCCTCTATAAATAAACCCTAAATTCACCGTTTAAAGCTTTCTCTTCTCCCTATCCACTACCTATCTTCAATAATCAATTGCATCTTCATACCTTCTCACACGCACGCTCATGATTTCTTTTACTCAGGTATTATCTCTGTTTTCAGCTTCAATTTTTAATTCTAAGCTTCTTCCTTCTCTTTTTTTTACGGATATTTTCTGGAAGGGTCTTTTTTTTTTTTTTTTGTAGCTTTTTTTGGTTTCCTGGATAATAGAGAAGGAGGGAAAATACTTATTTGAAGGTTTCAATTCTTTGTTGTTTTTGGTTTTTAAACGTTATGGGTAAATTTATTTGCCTTGGAGAAATGTTTTGGGTGAGGTTTTAGCTAGGGCTTCTGTTTGGGTGCTGAGAAAACCGAGGAAAACAAGAACATGCGGGAAATAAATGTTAATTATCCTAATTTTTGCTGCTTAAGGATAAGCTTAACTAAAATTTTTGAGCTTCTTGTTTCCGCTTTCTTAGATAATGTAAGGGTTCTTCACATTATGCGTTTGTAAAACTTGGTTTTTGAAAAAAATAAATGTAAGTCATTGTTTTTTTTTTTTTTAAAACTCCTTCTGTTTTGTTATCTTTTGGTCTTTTTAAGATTATATTTTAATTATCATTGTGGTGAAAGTAGCTCTTATCTAGCAACTGTTTATTGAATTAGGTCCTATTGAGTAAATGATCCGGTGCTTAGGGTCAAGACAATGGTGTTGGTAACCCATCAGTTGCAGGTAAGCCTGTAAAAGTGGGCATTCTTTATGTGTCTGTCTGTCAATTTTGCATCTAAATTTCATGAAGCCTAGACTTGCGGGAAAATTTGTATTGATTTTGAAATATGCTGGCATAACCAACTGAAGAATCTAAATTATAGTTGTGTGGCTGTGCTGCTCCAAATAATGGTTGCAGGTTATGTAGTTTCTAGTACAGAACCGTATAAATCTTCATATTTGGCAGTCGGAGAATTGTGTAAAACTATTTTCTTCCCCGTTTACGTGATATTAATTAATATCAGAATCTATATTGTTGATTCTATGCCTTTGGGTATTATAATTATTGGAATATATATTTTGATTAACATCGTAGGTCTTAGTGTCTCAGTTCAAATAAGTTTAAGGATTTGCGCTTTTATTATATGCCAAATCTAATATTTCTTAGCAAGTTTGCCATTGAAATAACTATCCGTTTTAAGATAAACCTATTGGAGCAATTGGAGCACTACACCAATGTTCCTTTATCTTCCTTTTTTCATATAAGTGTACATACCCTACATATAATCTCGAACATTTCTAGTTTCCAAAATCACGGAATTGAATGTCATTATGGTAATAAGCAGAAACTATGCCACTTGCTGCATTATATATATTCTGTATGTTCCTGAGTGGAAACTATTAGCTTTCCAGTTCAGCCTCCTGGTTATATAATGCCTCTTATCTTGTGTCTTCATCATGAATTGCTAGTTCAATCCTGTAGGTGATGATATGTTTTCATGGAACCTCCCTAGTTTGAACCTTTTCTTTCTGTTTCGCTCTGATGTGTCATATCTATTAAAGTTTTCATTTATGTATGCTACTACTAGAATTGAGTTTTTGAGTTTCTTTTTGCTTGTCTGAACTTGTAGAATAAATGTCTTGTCTATTGCATTTCAGGGTTCATATGTAGCATTTCCCACAAAGCGTTTATCATGGAGCAAAGGGTTAATATTGAGGCGACATGTAACAACAGTTCACATGGTTGGGAAAACAGAGAGAGGTTCATCATTAAAATGTAATTTTTCTTTAAGGTGAGAAATGTCATTTTTGTGTTTAATTGTCATCTCCTTTGGTTGAAGTATGTTGAAGTCACTATAGGTTGTTTATCTCTTGGTACATGTGATTTGCTTTTGGAAATTTTCAAGTTTGCAATCTCATATAGTGACTATAGACATACTATCATTAACATTGAATTTGCATCTTGATGCAAAAACCTGTTTTAGCCCTATGTTCCTATTTCATTTCATTGTATATTAGGCTGGGTTATAATCCAGTTTTCTTCAGTTTATTGTCTTTTGTATTTTAATGTTTTTGTTGTAAGGGTGGTTACATGCCATTTAATGCTTGTTCGTGGCATTTTTCTTTTTTACTCTTCTATTTCGAAGAGGGGAGAAGGGATGAGGCTTTTTCAGTGTTTCGGATTACTGTCTTATCATTTTTTTTTTTTTTGGATTACTGATATGCTTTTTAGAATATTCTTGTAAGAATATTTTGGGTGTGTTTGTTTTATTATTTTGAGTAGTATTTTTGAAAAAGTTGAGTTGGGTTATTATTAAAAGTATAGGATTTGAATTTGAAAATGTGTTTGGTAAGATTATTTTTTAATCCCTTATATTTGTTAATTTAGTTAAACACTCCTTACAATAAAAATTTTAAAATTAATAAAAACACTTCCACGCACCCATTAAATGCCGGCTGGCTGCCGAGAATATGTGAGTGGGTGGGGGTATTTTTGTCAATTTATAAATTTTGATTGTTGGGAGTGTTTAGTTAAATTAACAAACCTAGGGGGTTAAAAAAATCTAGGCTGTGTTTGTTTTGTTTTTTTTCAAAATACTCTATTCCTATCCTAAAAAAATGCATGTTTGTTTTCCTATTCTCAAAATCATATCCTATAATATTCAACTACTTTAAACCCTCATAGGTTTAATAATTTAACTAAACACCCTCAACAAAAAAGTTCTATAAATTGACAAAAACACCTCCACCCATCCACATTTGTCAGATTCTGGCAATTACTGCTAGAAAGTGGCCGGAATCTGGCGTAATGGCGCACTACCGGCTGGATCTGGCCAGTAGTGCGCTGATCTGACCTTTTCTAGCTAGATCCACTGTGGATCTGACTGGAAAAGGCCAAATCCACAGCCAAAGATCTGGTTGTTGACGGCTAATATATGGTCGTCGTTGACCGTCAACGATGACCATATCTTTGGCCATCATTGATGGCAAGATATGGCTAGATCTGGTTGTCAATGGCTTGATCCGGCCGTTGATCTAGCCTTTTTCGGCCAGATCCGTGGTGGATTTGGCCGGAAAAGGCTTGATCTGGCCGGTCGTGCGCAATGAAACAAGATTCTGGCTGTGGTGGCCGGAATCTAGCAACTGTGGGTGGGTGGGTGGGTGGGGGGGTGGGGGTGTTTTTATCAATTTATAAACTTTTTATTATTGGGTGTTTAGCTAAATTAACAATCCTAAGAGTTTTTTTTGGTTAATTTTCAAATCCTACCTCGTAATAATAACTCAACTCAACTTAACAATAATATTTCAAAAATATTACTCAAAATAATAAAACAAACACTAAATATTTTGAATTGAATAGAATATGATTGGATTTTGAGAATAGTGAAACAAACATGTATTTTGAACAGGATAGGATAGGAATAATAAAACAAACACATCCTTCATTGTTTATCTTTTCTCTAGTATTAGTGTTTTCACATCCTTGAAATTCTCTCTTTTATTTTATGTATCTTGTACAATTAGTTCTGATAATTAATATTCTGCAGTATAGGGGCTCCTCGTGTTTGTGGAGTGAAGGTCAAACCTGTAAAAATTTCTGCTTTTAAAGGCAGTGCCCAAAATGATGAATCAGGAGGAAGAACAAGTGGATCAAAGATTTCCAAAAATTCTGTTAAACTTTCTTATATTCCGAAAGAGAGTGAGGAAACCGTAGCAGAATCTTCAAAGGCACATAATGGTCCACTGCCATATGCCTCCGAAACGAAAGAGACTATTGCAGGGTCCCCTGCGATTCAGAGACTATTCAAGAAATGGTTGACAATGTTGCAGACACAATCTCCGTGTCAAGAGGCAGATGAGGTTTTGGGAGAGAGGCCGNGAAGAGGGGAGAAGGGATGAGGCTTTTTCAGTGTTTCGGATTACTGTCTTATCATTTTTTTTTTTTTTTTTTTTGATTACTGATATGCTTTTTAGAATATTCTTGTAAGAATATTTCGGGTGTGTTTGTTTTATTATTTTGAGTAGTATTTTTGAAAAAGTTGAGTTAGGTTATTATTAAAAGGATAGGATTTGAATTTGAAAATGTGTTTGGTAAGATTATTTTTTAATCTCTTATATTTGTTAATTTAGTTAAACACCCCCTACAATAAAATTTTTTAAAATTAATAAAAACACTTCCACACACCCATTAAATGCTGGCCGGCTGTTGGGAATATGTGGGTGGTGGGGGTATTTTTTTCAATCTATAAATTTTTATTTTTGGGGGTGTTTAGTTAAATTAACAAACTTAGGGAGTTAAAAAAATCTAGGCTGCGTTTGTTTTGTTTTTTTCAAAATACTCTATTCCTATCCTAAAAAAATGCATGTTTGTTTCCCTATTCTCAAAATCATATCCTATAATATTTAACTATTTTAAACCCCCATAAGTTTGTTAATTTAACTAAACACCCCCAACAAAAAAAGTTCTATAAATTGACAAAAACACCTCCACCCACCCACATTTGCCAGATTCTGGCAACTACTACTGGAAGGTGGTCGGAATCTGGCGTAATGGCGCACTACTGGCTGGATTTGGCCGGTAGTGCGCTGATTTGTCCTTTTCTAGCTAGATCCACCGTGGATCTGGCCGGAAAAGGCCAAATCCACAGCCAAAGATCGTTGGCTATCATTGACCGTCAACGATAATCATATCTTTGGCCGTCGTTGATGGCTAGATATGGCCAGACGGCTAGATCCGGCCTTAGATTTGGCCTTTTTCGGCCAGATCCGTGTTGGATTTGGCCCGAAAAGGCCATAGATTTGGCCGGTCGTGCGCAATGAAACAAGATTCCGGTGGTAGTGGCCGGAATCTAGCAACCATGGGTGGGTGGGTGGGTGGGGGTGTTTTTGTCAATTTATAAACTTTTTATTATTGGGTGTTTAGCTAAATTACCAAACCTAGGAGTTTTTTTTGTTAATTTTCAAATCTTACCTCGTAATAATAACCCAACTCAATTTAACAATAATATGTCAAAAATATTACTCAAAATAATGAAACAAACACTAAATATTTTGAATTGAATAGAATATGATTGGATTTTGAGAATAGTGAAACAAACATGTATTTTGAATAGGATAGGATAGGATAGGATAGGAATGATAAAGCAAACACACCCTTCATTGTTTATCTTTTCTCTAGTATTAGTGTTTTCACATCCTTGAAATTCTCTCTTTTATTTTATGTATCTTGTACAATTAGTTCTGATAATTAATATTCTGCAGTATAGGGGCTCCTCGTGTTTGTGGAGTGAAGGTCAAAACTGTAAAAATTTCTGCCTTTAAAGGCAATGCCCAAAATGATGAATCAGGAGGGAGAACAAGTGGATCAAAGATTTCCAAAAATTCTGTTAAACTTTCTTATATTCCGAAAGAGAGTGAGGAAACCGTAGCAGAATCTTCAAAGGCACATAATGGTCCACTGCCATATGCCTCCGAAACGAAAGAGACTATTGCAGGGTCCCCTGCTATTCAGAGACTATTCAAGAAATGGTTGACAATGTTGCAGACACAATCTCCGTGTCAAGAGGCAGATGAGGTTTTGGGAGAGAGGCCGCCTCCCAAGGAGTTATCTGAAACTAATATTGAGACGTGGAACATGGGAAGAAGTGAGACTCTAAAGGCAGTTTGGGGCCACTTTTGGGATCTGGATGCAACAGTAAAGATACCCTTACTGATATTGTAAGTATAATGGTTTGTGCATGAGATTTTAGTCTCGCTTGGTATTCTGCATGGTTTATTAAGTACTCATTTATAACATAAAATTTACAAATTGGGAGACATAGATTAGATGCTGTAACCGTATGATATGTATATTTTGCTTTGTGCAACTCTTTGCTAGTATAAATGGTTTTTTTGGCTCTGATTTTAGGAATGGTGAATCAGTGCCCTTCCCTTTAGTCTCCTTGCTTGATGTTTTTATCTAAATTTTTGCTAAATCAATATATTTTTGTCTCTAATTTTTGTAAAAAATCTATATATCTATATTTTTGTGCAGTTTGTGATAATAATGTTTCCATCTGTGTTTTTTACAAAGCCTGGCATAACTTAATATAGTATCTTGCTGTCCAGTCACCTGTTCTCAAACTTTTGCATCTGAAAATATGAATTGCTGCAACGTATTGTAAACTGAAGAATGGCGAAAGAACATAATCAACATAATACTGTTTGTTCCCAGTTTGTAATACTAACATTGTTACAATTGTAACTCCACGTAATGCAGTTATGTGGAAGCCTTTTGGCATCATTAATATGAGTGTTGTTCAACCGTTCTATCTTGTTAACAGTTATATGTTTCGCAAACTTAAACAAACTTGGGAAACTGTTGGTTGTTTATTTGGATTATTAAGAACCTGACCATATTTCAGATTTATTCTTCTGATGATTGATTTGCTGTATTTGCAGTGTCCCTTGGTATCTGGCAGTTAATGTTGTTTATGGGGCTCAAGTTTCAAAGGAGTTGATTCCTTTATGGGTGTTTGGGCCCATAATTGTTGCTCTCTACATCAAGATGATTCGATGGTTGTTTGCACTTTATGTCTACTGCTTCAAGCAAACAGTCAAAGTAGTTAAGAATTTGCCAACGTACTTCGCAGTGGCCTCCAAATATATTGCCCAGGGGAAGCTTAAGGAAGATTTTCGAGCTCGTGTCTGGCAACCTGTGGTGGACTTTAAGAACTCGGATTTTGAAGAGCTGACTAGAAAAAATCTGAAAGTATTTCAAGAATGGATGGTGGAGAAGTACCTGGATTTTGTGGAATCAATATGGCCCTTGTATTGTAGAACCATTAGGTTTCTAAAGAGGGCTAATCTGATATAGAATTGATTTGAGTTGAGAAAAAGTCTTTTAGCGGAGTAGTAAAGATTGAAACTAGAGTTTTCTCCCTGAAAATGTTCCCATCCCATCCCAAGTTGAAAATTTTGAAAGAGAGCTGCCAATCCCCATTTTAGAAGGGGGAAGTGGGAGGTTTGTGGGTCTTTTAAATTACAGATGGCAAGTCATGATTAGGAAACAGAAGTTGTCCAATTTGTGTAATTTTTTGTAAGGCGATGTTTGATTATTCTTGCTTTGAGGAGCGCACTATATGTTTCTTTTCCTCTTCAGTTGTAACTGAGGTTCTATACTTATAATGAAGGTTTATTCAATTCACACTTAGTTACTTTAGTTTTAATGGCTTAATGCAAATGATGCTAGAAGGTAGAACAAACATTCTCGGGGATCATTTGCCTTCTCGCAAATGGTTCAAGACTGTTGTTTTTTTTTTTTTTAATTCAAGTTTTGTGTCTTTGATAAATTATCCCATTCCAGGATTTTAATCAATCTAAAGTATTATTAATGAATGCTGGACTCCCTATTCTCAATAGTTCAATAGACGAACGTAATACTATTGTTACAACATGATCTTACAAATTTATTTTCATAGTTCTAACGTAATAGTTTGTAATAGGTTTTCGTCTGCTCAATTACGATCTGTCTCATCGGAGTTGTAAAAGAAAGTTTGTAAAATTGAGTTGTAAGTTAATTTTTATTGTAATTCAATACCCTCTTTTAAACATGTTAAAAAAAAAAAAAAAAAAAAAAAAAGCGGTTTAAAATGAAATAATTCTTTAATATCTTTGTGTTTTAATTTGAGGATAACATCAATCTATTCTTTTATTTTAAAATTATTTATTAATTTCTTGTTTTTATCTATTATTCTGGCATCTTTCAAGTTTCAACAGAATATTAGATAGTTGAAGGCTTTATTGGATGTTTCAAATAAAAATATATTAACTGGAAATTACTGAAAAATTGATAATGAGAACAGTAAGTGAGAGGCCCATGTAAGACGTAGAATTGTCCAAAAAATACCCGTTTGGAACCCACACAAACAAGCCGTCTTCTTGTTTCATTCCAAGACCCACAACCTCAGTTTTTCCGAATTATCAATTTTCCCACCTGTGCCTTTCTTCTACATCAAATTCCTCACATGGGTACTCTTAATTTTCCTTTTATTTAGATGGGTCTGCCTTAAAATCCACTCAAATGCATTCTTTAACTTCCTAATATAATACACACCTGAGCTCTCTGTTATTTTGACCTTCATATAATAGAATTTGTTATGGCTGTTAAGTTCAGTTCCTCCTCATTCTCTTGCGCGGCCAATTCTCTTTTCCCTCCTAAACCTAGAATAATTTCAAAGGTAGATTTTTAATCTTTGTTTCAATACTATAATTCTTTGTTGTTCTTATGTTATGTTTGGAGGGTTCTCTATGGGTTTCCATAGAAACATCATAGAGTTTGAGTGGCTTTTCCTTTTTCTAAGAATCTCTGGTTTTTGCAAATTTTCATTGAGAATGTGTTAGCTTTTTTAGTTTGCATTAAACTTCCAATTTTCTGTTTAGGTTACAATTTGGTCTAGGTCATATATTTAACTTGACTATACAATTTGTTCAGTTTGCCTAGAATATTTACCTCCATATATTGGTGAAATGTACTATACTTTTTATATTTAGCAACCTTGGACCTTGTGTTATGAATTATTTTTTAAGATAGCTTTTTTTGGCATGTACATGGGTCTTTGCTGTCATAGAGTTGCTACATGTTTTTTTAGATATCAGATGACCTTTGAATTATAAATTTTTCGATAGACAAGTCTCACTGATTTGGATGTTGTAGTGCACGTTAGTTTGAGTTGACTAAATGACCCACCACTAGATTTTGTTAGTGTTTCTTTTCCCCTTCAGTGCATTACTTGTGTCTTTGACATTCTATGGAAGTGATATCCGCTTTAGTGTATTGTATGAAGAAATCTTCATCATTAAACATTTCTGTTATATTTGACGATTCTTAGAGAGGGGCTAGATTTTTGTTTTTCTTAAATATCTTTCTGTGAGGGAGTATAAAGTATCTAAAAACAGTAAGGATATAGTTCTAAGTGAGTATAGACACTTTTCCACTTTTGATTATCTTGCCACACTCTAACTTTATTTTTCAATGACTTTCTGCTTGATTCTCGTATAATTTCTTTCAACTGGCTTCTTGTTATTCCATGTTATGCGTCTGGGAATGTTTTAATTAGAGATGTCTCACTAGTTTGAGAGCTCTCTTATACTTTTCTAATCTTATAATACTCATGCTTTGATACCCAGATGACCTTGTTACAGAGACCATATAACAAAAAGCAACATGAAATTATGCAGCTTCGAAATTCTAAAGGTAGCTTTCATGACTTGTTGGGTGATTTTTAAAGCTCTAGAAATATTTTTGTAAGGTTCAATACCCACCACATTTTGGTTTTTCCCTTAAGGACTATGTGAGGTGCTACTGACAATGGTAATCAGGTCTTTTGGCTTTATTTTCCCGTTAAAATACCAATACACCAATTTTGTTGCCTATTGTGTATTTAAGATTTTGAATTTTGATTTACCACTGCTGTGCAAAAATGTTAGTGGTGTTTCATTTAATTCTTCTCATGGTTTCCTTGTGGTATTTTGAGTAGTCAAGTCATGCCACTTTGTATATGGACTATTGAAGTTACAAGGAAGGTTTCAAAAGAGGCAAAAGGTGCAATGTGCCATTTCCGAGGATCAGTCACAATACATTGAACTCAAGCCAGATTCTGCAGAACAAGTCAATCAGCATCTTGATTCAGAAGATATCTCTTTGGCTGGTAGTTCATCTATCTATCATGAGGGAGCTAATGGAAGACCTGGTTTAATTTCATTTTATAATCGTCCATATAAAATAGAGGATGAGATCAATACATCTGATCTTCAAAGGAGTCCAAGCAGTCTATTATGGCTTGTTGGTCCTGCTGTCCTTGTGGCCTCTTTTATTTTCCCCTCACTTTATTTACGCCGAATAATCTCCACAGTATTTGAGGACTCTCTGTTGACAGGTGAGTGAACTTCCTTATGTTCATATGCTGTTCTTCTTCTTTGTATGTATGTTTGTTTTATTTTATTTTTTGTTTCACCCCTTTAAATCTATTTTTTTTTTTCTGACAAGCCTCAAATAACTTAAAATTAAAATTAAAGGTGAAAAAAAAAAAATAATAATAATAGATTAGAAAGGTCACTAAGGTCTTTTTGAGGACAGGTGCTTGATTTTTGAATCTTTCTGGTGTGTTTTAGATTCTTCTAAAGATTGTTTTTTGTAACTGCTGTCCACAATCTAATCAATTTAAAGTGAACTCTACTCTTGAGTTGGTTACAGCTTCCCGATTGAATGTGATGGTTGATACTGCTGGCTATGGATGAGGGAGGAGCAAATATTGGAAAGGACAGGGATCATAGGCAAGTTTTGAAGGATGACTTGAGTTCTACTGGATATTGGGGTTTCCCAAACTAGTGAATAGGATGGTCCTGACGTGATTCATTGATATTTGCATTTTGAGAATTGGGGCAGAAATTTGAAAGACGATGTGGCAAAGATGGCCAAAATTAAAGATGGAAAGTCGGGTGAGGGAATAGGTCAAATAGCTGGCACAAAAGGCAGAATTCTATAAGAAGTTTTGCATAATTATCAAAGATTGATTGAGATTTAAAGAACTACTATTAGATATAACTCAAGTAGGGTGGACAGGCAAAATAGTTGTTAGAAAAAAAAGCTAGAGTGTTGACAGTATCTTGGGGTTTCTGATATGACATGTTGAATCCTGCTTATATTACTTTATCTTTGCAATGCTTTTCCATTTTTGTTCCAGTTTTGTTTTTATAGCTGGAGATAATTTGTTTCATTCTCGAAATTGCTCTCTGTTCACCATCTGCAGATTTCCTGATATTGTTCTTCACAGAAGCTCTTTTTTACTGTGGTGTTGCGGTTTTTCTTCTGCTAATAGACCGTCTCAGAAGGCCTATTGGGCCAGATTCTACCACAAATAATAATAGAACCCTCTCTCCTCAATTAGGACAGCGGATCTCTTCTGTTGCTGCCCTGGTACTCAGTCTAATAATCCCTCTTGTGACCATGGGCTTGGTCTGGCCATGGACAGGCCCTGCTGCTTCTGCTACTCTTGCTCCTTACCTGGTTGGTATTGTTGTCCAATTTGCATTTGAGCAGTATGCAAGATATCGGAAATCACCATCATGGCCTGTCATTCCAATTATTTTTCAAGTAAGTGCTGTCATGATTTATTTCTAATAATCCATTTTCTTGGAACATCTATGTTCAGTCAGGATAACAGAAAGAAGTTAAACTTTATTCTGTATGATATTTTTTGTTTAACAAGTGCTTTATTACTTCATTAAATTTATAGACACGTGTAGTTCATTTCAATACATTTGCACCTTAGCAGGTATATATATGCTAAAAAAACATTAGAGTTTGTTTGTCCATCTTGTAGTTCTTTTGGCTGGCTAATATTTCAATTAGTGCTCCATTTAGAGTCTTTGACTGAGATGTAGGTAAGGACTGAAATATTATTTTAATTTAGTTTTGATGCCTGTATATTGAAGAGATATTTGATGCAACACAGGTGTATAGGTTGCACCAATTGAATAGAGCATCACAATTGGTGACGGCCCTGTCATTCACTGTGAGAGGAGCTGAAATGACTGCACAAAACTTGGCAATAAACAAATCTTTGGGTGCACTATTGAATGTCCTTCAGCTCCTTGGGGTTATCTGCATTTGGTCACTCTCAAGCTTCCTGATGAGGTTTTTCCCTCCCACTGTAACAACTACGGAGTGAGGAATGAACATAATTAGGAGTAGTATTGTTATCGTCCTGCTTTACAGAGTACAATGCTGCAGTTTGGTCTTGTTCAGGTGAAAGAACTTAGAGGTCTGGCTCTTTTGCGGTGTTTCCGTGCTGCTGGCAATTGAAACTTTTGTTAAAAAAGCATCCAGGTTTGCTGAAAGATTTAAGAAGTTTATTGCAGGATTATTTTGATGGAAATGCTAAAAGCAGTAGAGAATGAAAAAGGGTAACTATCTTGCTTCTGTTTCTTCAGGTTTATGTTTGCCAGGACCTATTTTTGACTTTATATGATTGGAACGCTGGACAGCATTTAATTATTATCAACACCCATTTGTGACTTTGTAAATTGATAATCTTTTGTCATAGATTGGCCATATTCAACAATTGTGCTGTAAAAATCTGGAGGGATTAAAATGATGTAGGCTGCTTATGTGGCATCCAGACCTGGCTTCCTTTGGCATCAACTTACTGGATTGTGTATCAAAATAAATCATTGAAATTTTTTATTGTATAAATTTTTTTTAGTTGGACTTATCATTTATTGAATGCAAGCTATAAAAATTCCTTCATTTTTTTTCCTACTACGTTGTGTTTCGATAGTAAATTGAATAGAAATGTGTTGGATCTTGGGCTATAACTATAAGCATGGGTGGCCGCATATATCTATCTGGGGTGTGTAAGAGTGGATGAACCAGTGCTTTGATACCTGACCTGGCCCTGCCTGTTAAACCGGTTCAACCAGGACCTGGGGCCTTCATTGGGTGGGTTATCACTTTGAACCATCGTTTTAAACCTAGCCTGACTCGGCGATAACCCAGGTCCCGGTTTGAAGATTGTGTGTACTTCTTGTCCAATTTTTTTTTTATTAAGATCCAAAAAATTAAATTTTCCAGACTCCTTAGAATGTTTTAAGATAATGCATGTTCTTCCCTTTTTCAAAATGTTTTGTTGCCAATAACTACTATGTTATTCTTAAGCTAATTAAGTTTCTATCAACTGAAATCTTTAAGAATATGAATCAGCCAGAGCAAGCGCACAGTTAGAGTAGAGAGCCTCTAGTCTACTGGGTGGTGTTTGATATTTCTTTTTATTGCTCACAGCCTAACAGGGATTTTAATCAGAGTCAGAGAGGGCATCTTAGTGTGAAGTCTGTAGTATTAGTGGTTGCCTGTTTTACCTGCTTTTAGGGAAATCATTCTCTCTTTTAACTCATATTTAACTAGAAACAATGTCTTTTGGGAAGCAATTTCTCTTTTTTAAAATCATTCTATTACTTTCGAGGTTTCATTATTAATATTTTCACAGTCAATAATGTACCTTCTTCTTTGGCTTTATAATATGTCTGTTATCTCTTGACATTTGACCTTCAATGTTATGATATGTTAAACAAAACCAACTTATTTTTCTGTTTAAATTCCAGAGTAGGTAGTAGTTTGAAGATTATACAAGGAGACACTCGGATTAGGTAGTTGACAAATTCTCTTAAATTTGATATATCATTCTGGGTGCACAAAATAAGAGGCAGAAACATACAAAGAGAATGTCAAATGTCATTTCAATATCGAATTTGATTGCATGAGAGAAAGAGTGGTATAAACGTAACTTTAGCAGGCATATTTTGCAAGCATGAAGATGCTTCTGACTCAAATCTCAACATGCTGATGTTGCATGTGTAGAGAAGAAAAGGTAAAAATGTGAATTAAGCTGTGGAGTCACATCCATCCAATATCTAACGAGAAATTATTTCAAAAATTTTCACGAAAATGTTTTTTACTCAAAACTATTGTTTTAAAACCCGTTGTGAGACACGGTAAGGTGACCAGGTCACGAATTGATCGGTCGATTGGATCATTGATGTCAGCGACAAAATTATTTTTAAAAATTTTAAATATCCCTTAAATTTTAATATATTACAAAAATAACCTCTAAAAAATTTAATCCCTAAAATTTTAGTTTATTTAAAAAATGCCCAAAAAAATTATGTTTTAATCAATAAAGTTTTGTACTATTGAACACCCCTAGAAAATTACAAGTCCCTATAATTTTGGAATATATTGAAACCCCTCTGAAACCTAAATCAAACCGGAAAGGTTGTCGGGTCCCAGTCAGACCGGTCCAACTAGCTAGTTCGTTTGGGTTTTGAAACAGTGCTCAAAGCACGTCTATTTAGTTTTTGGGATCCAAATATTATAAATTGAATTCTAAACTCATTCACTAACAATGTAAGATATGACAAATCAACTATCCGCTCAAGTCAAAAGTGAAAACACTTGGTTTGGTAACCTAACAAATGGTCCAGGTGGTTAAATGTTTTGTCTTTGAGTTATTTTGATGGAGTTTGTTGGTTGGTTGCATTTGCTTAAAAAACTGAGAACTTAAGCAAAGGTGAAGGATTAAAAAAAGGGTTCTATTGAAAGCTTCAGAAATCTGTATCAGAGAAAAGTCCAACTGATGAAGTTAACCTCTTTGTCCTCGCTTGTTTGGGTTCTTATTTAACAGAATCCATCTATTTAATTTTAAGGTTAGAAGATTCCTTTTAATATACTGACCTTATCTCTCATTCTTACCACAAGATTTGATTAGAGGTGATGCTCCAATGGATACATAACACCAAACCTCACATGGTTTTGGCCCAATAATGGGTTCTATATAATTAATAAATTTGGTCTTCACTGTAAATGGATTGTGGTTGTTTTCCTCTCTTTGTTTTCTTGCTGTATTAAAATTTGGTATTAGGTGGTTTAGGTTTGAGAGAGAGAAGAAAAAAAGTAATCCAAATTCTCAACCATAAGATTTCTCCATTATAATTTTGAAAGAAGAAAACATTAAGAGGTTGGAATGCACTAACACTGACACAGAAAGTAACCACAAAAGGCAATGTAAAGTTGTATTCTTTTCAATTTCATTATTATTTCATTTTTAATGATTTAGATCTTTGACCCATATGATCTACATCAAGAAAATTATTAACCCAATATACTCCTTTATGGATGCATGCTTATGGTCCTTTATGGTTCTTTGGAACATCCCATAATTTTCAGTAATATAATGGATTTATACCAATATAGTTGACAATATGGTTGATAAAATTGACCACATCTCTTTAAGAAAGTCAAATCCTCCTTCCTTAAATCTTATGGAATAATTCTGATAAATTCTATCTGAATACCATGCTAAAATCTATTATTATACATAGGGAAAGATCAATCTGAATTTGACATTGAGCATAGAGAGGTGGCCACTTTTGTGGGTCTGCCCCTTATTTTTTTTGGTTTTCATCTCCTTTCAACAACAGCCATCACTCTTTCTTATCTTCATACAATTTCCCATTCCACACGACATTAAAACATGCGTCAAAATTTGATAATTGCCTTGAGGATGAAAGGAAGAAAAAAAACTCCTTACTTTTAGCATACTGATATAGGTAAAAGAAAAGACTGCCACCTTATGATAATCTGTGGTTATAAATTAATAATTCCTGATGCATCATTATTATTATTTTATTAACTTTCTTTCCAACATCATTTTGCAGCCACACTCTCACTATTTAAACTCAAGCTTTTTATGAACAAACCAGTGATTCTCTCTTTCAAATTCCCTCCTTAAACTTCTATTCCATTTGTGATCATTTCAAGTTTCATGAACTTCTCTTGCTTGTTCTTGCCTTTATGTTCAACATGGAACCTACCTTCTTCCCAAGTTATGACACTGAAACTTTGGAATTTGTAATCTGATACTTTGATTCCAAATTTATCTTTTTCATGCATTTCGAAATGGGTTGCATTCAAATGTTTCATTTCGTCCTGTTTTTTATCACATTTATTGCTGCTTTTGCTGTTACTCTTGGAGATAACTCAACAGATTCCTTCTGGCTTCTAAGAATCAAACAAGAAGTAGTTGATCCTATGGGAGTTCTAGAGAACTGGTCTTCAAGAGCTCATGTATGCAGCTGGCATGGAATAACATGCTCAGATGATGAAAAGCATGTTGTAGGCTTGAATCTATCAGGCTCAGGACTATCAGGTTTCATCTCACGCGAGTTCTTACACTTGACTTCACTTCAAACACTAGATTTATCCTCAAATTCACTCGCTGGCTTGATTCCTTTTGAGCTTGGACAGCTTCAAAATCTAAGGACATTGCTTCTTTATTCAAACTCTCTTTCTGGAAAGATTCCTCCAGAGATATGTCTTTTGAATAAGTTGCAAGTCCTTAGAATTGGAGATAACTTGTTATGGGGTGAAATTCCACGAAACATTGGCAACTTGATCGAGTTGAGAGTATTAGGCCTTGCATACTGCCACTTCAATGGGAGCATTCCTGTAGAGATTGGGAATTTGAAGCATCTGACATCTCTTGACCTGCAAAACAACTTACTCCGCGGCCCTATTCCAGAAGCCATTCATGCCTGTGAAGAGCTTCAAAATTTTGCAGCCTCAAACAATATGCTGGAAGGAGACATCCCTTTTTCAATGGGGTTGCTTAAATCTCTACAAGTTCTTAACTTGGCCAACAACAACCTTTCCGGATCAATTCCTACAGAGTTAAGTCATCTTTTTAATTTGAGTTATATGAATTTGCTTGGTAATCGATTGAATGGGGAACTTCCTTCAGAGCTTAATCAGTTGGTTCAGCTGGAGATCCTCGACCTGTCGAAAAACAACCTCTCAGGGAACATAAGCCTTCTCAATACTCAATTAAAGAATCTTCAAGTTCTGGTTCTGTCTGATAATGCTTTGACAGGTAGCATTCCAATCAACTTCTGTCTCAATAACTCAAATTTGCAACAACTCATTCTAGCTCGAAATAGGCTCTCTGGTGAGTTCCCTTTGGAGCTATTGCACTGTTCATCACTCCAATTATTAGACCTTTCTGATAACAGTTTTGAAGGAGAGATACCACCAAGTCTGGCCACGCTGGAGAACCTGACAGATCTTGCTCTCAATAATAACAGCTTTACAGGAAGTTTGGCTCCTGAAATTGGAAACATGAGTAAATTGGAAAGCCTTTATCTTTTTGATAACAAGATTACTGGTGGAATTCCGGTGACAATTGGCAAGTTACAGAGGTTGAGCTTTCTCTACCTTTACGACAACCAGATGTCAGGAAGTATTCCGAGAGAGTTAACAAACTGCTCTAGCTTAACCATAGTGGACTTTTTTGGAAATCATTTTACAGGTTCCATTCCTGAGACCATGGGAAAGCTTAAAAATCTTGTGCTTCTTCAACTGAGACAGAATGACTTGTCAGGTCCTATCCCGCCGAGCTTGGGCTACTGCAAAAGACTACAATCCTTGGCCTTGGCTGATAACAAACTCTCAGGAACATTGCCGCCGACATTCAGATTTCTTTCAGAACTCAGCCTCATTACTCTTTATAACAACTCCTTTGAAGGTCCTCTTCCTGCATCACTCTACCTACTCAAAAACCTCAAAATCATAAATTTCTCTCACAACAGATTTAGTGGCACCATTTTGCCTCTCACTCGCTCAAATTCTTTGACTGCGTTGGACTTAACAAACAACAGTTACTCAGGTCACATTCCTTCTGAACTAGCCATGTCAAGAAACCTAAATCGTCTTCGACTCGCACACAATCATCTTACTGGTAGCATTCCTTCTGAATTTGGCCAACTCACGGAGCTCAAGTTTCTTGATTTATCATTCAACAATTTCAAAGGCAAACTAGATCCTCAGCTCTCAAAGTGTAAAAAACTAGGACACCTCCTACTTAACAACAACCAACTTGGCGGCGAAATGCCTGGTTGGCTAGGCAGCTTGCAAGAAATTGGGGAGCTTGATCTCTCCTCCAATAATTTCCATGGAACAATCCCAGCTGAAATTGGAAATTGTTCAAGATTACTTAAGCTTTCTCTCCATGGAAATAACCTCTCCGGAAAGATCCCACAACAGATAGGTTATCTCACTTCTCTTAATGTCCTAGATTTGCAAACAAACAACCTTTCAGGAAAAATTCCTTCAACAATTCAGCAGTGCAAGAAACTCTATGAACTGAGGCTTTCGGAGAATTTCTTAACTGGTTCAATACCATCTGAGCTAGGAAGCATGACTGAACTACAAGTGATCTTGGATTTAAGTAAAAATCTGTTCACTGGAGAAATTCCATTTTCTCTTGGAAATCTGGAGAAGTTGGAGAGATTGAACCTGTCTTCTAATCAACTCCGAGGAGAAGTTCCATCTTCACTAGGAAAGCTGACAAGCCTCCACGTATTAAATTTGTCATATAATAATCTCCACGGCCAACTTCCTTCAACCTTTTCAGGATTCCCACTTAGTTCTTTCTTGGGGAATATGAAGCTCTGCGGCCCACCATTAGTATCATGCTCAGAGTCAGCAGAACAAGGGAGAAGAAAACTATCAAACTTTGAAGTTATAGGTACTATTGCAGCAATTGTGTTTACTTCAACTGTGATATGCCTGATTATGCTTTATATCATGCTCAGAATGTGGTTAAATTGGAGGAAAGTTTCCATTTCAAATTCGGATGGGGGTGGTGGGAGTGAACAGAAGAAAGAAGAGAAACGGGTTTGTGGAGATGAAAAAAGAAAAAATGGTGAGTATAAGAGAATGAAGTCCATGACATTGGTTCCTTTACAAGATGAACAAATTTCTACAGCATGCATATTCCAATCCAACATGGACAACAAAGAAATGGATGACAACTTAGTCTGACACTCAGAAGATGTGGTCACTTCCATTTTTCCTTTTAATTTGTTGGGGTTTATTGGGTCGTAAAATTCTCTGTCTTTTAACAAATCAAGTGTGTTTCAAATGCATTTATACAAAAGAATTGAGAGTGTACATATATGTTACTTTAAAAACCTAAAAATAGATGATTTCATAAGAGTCGTCTGTTATTTTCCATTTCAATTCTTCTTGTTGGCAGCCTCCTGTTTCAGTTAGATTCAACAAGGCAATACCATTATGAACCTGTTTTTATATAAATTAACTGAATTTGTACATTTCAAAGAAATAAAATCAGTATTAGGTTCCAGCAACTTAATTGAAATTATATGTTNCATATGTTCTACATACATACATTAAGAACACTAACGGACATATTTTTTTATAATTTTGAAGAAAGTTATTAACAAAAAGATAAAAAATGTATTTTTCAATACATCAATGCAATCAATTTTTTCTTCATTTGTAGCATTAATGTATGCCTCAGGATACACGATAAGACAACTTATTATAATTTTAAAAATATATCATATATACCTAACATCTTAGATGTTGTGAAAATATGCTGCAAAATAAGGGTAAAATGGCACTTAAAAAAAATATTTATGTTAGAGTTTGTTTCTCATAATATTTGTTAAAAATTGGAGAATTTTTTTACTCAATGAAACTTTAGGGTGTGTTAACTGAGCAAACGACGTGTTCCCACCCAAGGTAAAGCGAAATACAAGTTCTCACCCCTGGTTTATAAATTCCAGATTACCACCCTTAAACTAATAGAAGATTGTTTAAATTAACGGCTAAAGGATAAAATAGTCCTTTCTACTGCACTCCTTAACACTGTTGCGACATAGCTTTCATAGCCAACCACAACCACCACACCTCAGATCTGCCATAGCAACCACTTAACCATCGCCAGTCTGCCACCATCGCCTTCGACAACAATAACAAATGCAAACACTGACCACAAAACATCCTAAATATATCAACCCAAAGCTTCCTCCAAGAAAACTCTCTTCTGAAAAAATTCAAAGGCTCATCAAATTCGGTCAACCTCCGTTACCACATGACCCTTTTCTCTCTTCTTCTCCTAAAACCAAAACCGCCACCAAACCCTCCCCAACTCCCTCCATCTCCTAGTGGTGGCGAATCATCTCTCTTTACACCGACCAAAACGACACCAATGTCTCTAGAACCATCCTCATTGTCGGCGCCAATGTCACCGACCAAACTGCTGTTGGTGGGCAAAGATGTGGGTGGCTTGTGGGAGGCAGATGGGAGATTGGAGGTGGTCGAAAATCATTTTACACAGAATTAGACCTAAGACGATTCAAAATAGAAAAACTTCAATCATTTCAATTTAATTTATTTGAAAGGGGAAAAAGAGAGGTAATATCTATCCCTAAATATTAATCCGTATTGCCTAGGAATCTCAATGACCAATAATTGGTAATTAACACGGTAAGGAACTAGAGAATATATGGAATACCGCAGAAAGATTTCTTTTTATGAATTATTCTCCACAAAAACAAACTCCAAAAACAGTCACCAAATTCACCAAACTTCAATATCCAAGCAAACTCAAATTCAAAAAACAACCCCAAACAAACTCAACTCCAACTGGTGAGCGGGGCGATGCTTGTCGATGGAGGCGATGAGGTATGGAGGAGGGATGAGGGAAGTCTATGAAGGCAGTAGGTAGGAGGAGACGAAGAAGTGGTGAGCTAGGTCTGCTACGAGCGACTGCAGTGCAATCGATCGCTCGATTGCAAGGTGCGATCGAGCTAGTGGAAATGAGGCTTTGGAGTGTAATCCGGTTGTGATGGCAGGGTTTTGGTGAGTAGAAGATGGTGAAGCGGATGGTGTCGTTAGCTGGTGCGAAGAATCAGCGCGACGTGATTGACAGTCGCGCGATGGTGTCGCGGCAATGTAGAGGTATGGAAGGTAGGAGTGGAGGTGTGGTAAATTTGAAAGTAACATGTTATTTTCTAATTATAATAATTTAGGGGTCAAAAAATAATTTAATAATTTATTTGTCAAGGGTAGTATGATAATAATACCTTTTGCATCTGTGTTTGATCTTACAAATTACTAAAGGTGTTACTTTAAGGGTGGCAATTTAGAATTTGTAAAACCAGGGGTGGGAACCTGTCATTTCGCTTTACCTTGGGTGGGAACATGTTGTTTGCTCGTGTAATATTACTAAACTTCATGGTGGTATTTGTTATTAACCCAAAAACATTTCAATAAAGAAAATTCAAAAGGAAGCAAGCAAAGTTAAAACAAGATTCAAAACAGCAAAGACTCAACAAATATTCAAGCTAAGNGAGAAAATGTTTCCTTATAATCTATTCCTTCCATTTGCGTGAACCTCTTGGCAACAAGTCTAGCCTTGTATCTCTCAATGTTGCCTAATGAATCCTTTTTGGTTTTAAATACCCATTTACAAACAATAGATTTCTTTCCAGTAAACAACTCAAAAAGGTCCAAAACTTAATTATCCACCATAGAATTCATCTCGTCTATCATGGCATTATACCACAACTCAGATTTACTACTTTTCATAGATTGTAAAAACGTGTCTGGATCATCCTCAACACCTATGTCACAATCAGACTCTTGCATATACACTTTATAATCAGTAGAAATTGCTGATCTCTTTGTTCTAGTAGATCTCTTTAATGTTGTAACAACAGTCTCTTGCTAAGACTGTTGCACAATTGGTTGTTCCTCCTGTAGTGAAGGTTGTTCAAAATGATCTTCTAAAACAATCTCATCAGAATGTGGATTTTGATTGAGTGGTTCCTCATTATTCACCCTGTTTGAGTGAACAACCAATCTTTTACTTAATGTATAAGCATTGTCTAAAACATCAATTTTCTCAAGGACTGAGTCTCTGATTTGATCAGTCCCACTAACCACATCATTTTCAAGAAATTTGGCATTTCTTGATTCAAAAATGACTTAAACTTGGTTTCCAACCCTTCCATAATTCGAATGGCGTTTTGGGAACCGCCTTAGTTGGAACTCGGTTTAATATATACGCTGCAGTTTTGAGAGCTTCAATCCACAAAGAATGAGGAAGTTTGGAGTTACTCAGCATACTCCGTACCATATCCATTAATGTTCTATTTCTCCATTCTGCTACACCATTCTGAGATGGTGTGCCAGGAAAGGTGTATTGAGCCACAATACCTTGCTCTTGAAGAAATTTGCAAAATGGCCAGTGTTGTCCTGACCAGTGTATCTACCATAAATTCACCACCTCTATCAGATCGCACGATCTTAATTTGTTTTCCACATTGTTTCTCTACTTCTGCTTTATATATTTTAAAAGCATCCAACGCTTCATCCTTGTATAAAGCAAATAGAGATACATAATCGTGAGTAATCATCAATAAAGGTGATGCAATATTTCTGACCACTGGACTCATGTCAGGGCAGCAAATATCTTGTGTATGATTTTAAAAGTTCAGAACTCTTTCTGGCACCCTTCTTGGATTTGTTAGTCTGCTTTCCCTTAATGCAGTCTACACGTATCAAAGTCAGTAAAGTCGAGTTTCAAGAACTCCAGCATTTACCAACCTTTTACCTATCAATGGAGATGTGTCCTAATCTCCTATGCCACAAAAAGGAAGAGTTTTCATACATAATAGTACGTTTCATACTAGTGTTAGCATGTGAAGTCAAGACTATAGGAACATTATCACTTAAAGAATTTTAACAAACCATCAACCAGTACCATTCCACAATAGATGAGTTCTTAATTAAATTAAAGACCTACCATAAAAGTTGAAAGAGTATCCACAAGGTACAAGTTTAGAAACGAAATTAAATTCCTAGAAAAACAGGAATATAAAGGTTCGTTCCAATCCAAAGCATGTTAGTACTTAAAATAATTCTAAATGTTCCAACAGCTTCAACACGTGAAGGCATCCTGTTTCCTGAATAGAGGCACATTCACTTCCCAATGGCTTCCTTTGATCCAGAAAACCCTGTATGGTATTAGAAACATGGATTGTAGAACCAGAATCAATCCACCAATCATTATGTAAACACAAATCATATTAGATCATAACACACGGATAAAGGTTACCTTTCTTGTCAAGTCAGGCCTTCCTCTTAGGATCCTTCTTCATGTGTCCCGTCTTTTTATAGAAGAAACACTTGATATTGTCCTTATTACCTTGCTCATAACCTCATGCAGCTTGCCTTTTCCCTTCCACTTCTTATTCTTGTTTGAAGTGTACTTGACATTTACTATCACCAAATGTGCAGTTTCATTCACTCCCTAAGCAGTCTCTCCTCCTCCTGAACACACATGGTCAAAAGCCATTGATTGACCATTTATCTTTCTGTGTGTATAAGATATCTTAAAAGGAGTATAATGAGACAGAGAGAGTTCAGGACATAATGCACCAAGAAATCATCATTAATGACCATCTGAAGGGATCTCAACTGAGCAGCGATGTCCTGCTTTTCATATATGCTCACGAACTCCTTTAATGCCAGTGAACTTCATGGATGTCAATCTACCATTAGGATGCTTCCTAATGCCTTGTTTGATGTTTCAACTGTGCATGAATTGCCTCCATCAGATCCTTGACATTTTCACACTCCGATATCGACCCACGGATACTAGTCGTAATGTGAGATTTGATAAACATCATGCCTAAATGGTTGATCGCTCCCACCGTTCAACAAGCAATCTCAGCTTGAGAACTAGTATCTGTAGGTGTAGTGTAGGTGGCTCTTCCTTACGAAGAGCATAGTCAAGATCAATGCACCCTAAATAAGAAGGACAGCCTCTCTCCAGGATTTGTGTTATCACCATTTAAACTAGGAACCTTATCCTCAACCATCATCAAAGTTTGATCAACTGTGGTATATCAATAGACATGCTTACTAAATAAATTATGAGGCACAAACCATCAATAACAATTATAAGTTTCCAATGTAAAAAATAATAAATCATAAATGAATCGACATATCATAAAATCTCCCCGTGAGTAAAGACATTACATATTATGATTCATTATCCTTTAATATAAAATTAGAAATTATTAATATTTCATAATACCTGGGCTAATTAAGAAATAGAATAATTTCTATTTCATCCCTAATTAATCATGAAAATATAACATTCCTTTGGTAAATGATTATATTATATGATTACTACAAAACGATGTTATTAACCTTAATATGATCATAATAATATTACTTAATGCATATATTATCATAAT